GAATCATCACTATTCATGGCTTGTGAAAATGAGACTGGATCTTTGTTAATCCCAATATCAAAATCAGATTCCTGTAGATACACCATGTAATTATCTGGAATGGCAGGCTTTCTTTCCCTTTGAGATCTTCTCAGAACTGCCGGTTGTGGTGGTTCTATAATATTTTCAATGGTGGTATCTTCATGAAGTGGTGAAACATGAGGTGGTGAAGGATTTTCATTATGTTGTTCGTTTCCCTCAGCCTGTGGAACAGTCTGAGGAACAACAGTTTTTCGATAAGGGTCAAATGTTGGCACATCTACCCTAATTTCCTCAAAATTCACCACTTGTGTTTTCTCACTCCCACTAATTTCACCATTCTCTAGGAATCTAGCATTACCAGTCTCCATTATCCTCGTACTGTGATTAGGACAATAAAATTTGTACCCTTTAGATTTGTCTGGATAACCAATGAAATATCTAGATATTGTTCTTGAGTCCAACTTTTCTCTTGTGGGTTAAAGATTCTTGCCTTTGCTAGACAACCCCAAATATGTAAGTGTCTCAAACTAGGTTTCCTACCAGTCCACAACTCAAAAGGAGTTATTGGGACTGCTTTACTAGGAACCCTATTTAAGATATACATTGCAATTTTTAAAGCTTCACCCCACAATGAAATAGGTACATTTGAGTAACTTAACATACTCCTAACCATATCTTTAAGTGTACGATTACGCCTTTCAGCAACTCCATGTTGCTGTGGCGTACCAGGCATTGTATATTGAGCACAAATGCCTTTCTTTTTTCAGAATTTGGCAAATGGGCCAGGATTTTGTCCTGACTCATTATATTTACCATAATACTCATCACCCCAGTCTGATCTCACTATTTTAACCTTTCTATCTAATTGTCTCTCGACTTCAGTTATGTACACCTCCAGGATGTCAACAGCCTGAGACTTTTCATGAATTAGATACACATATCCATAACGTGAGAAGTCATCTATAAATGTGATAAAATATTTTTCACCACTAAGACATGGGATGTTGAGTGGCCCGCAAATATCTGTATGAATTATCTCAAGAAGCTCATTACTTCTTGTGGCACCTTTCTTAGTGTGTTTGGTTTGCTTTCCTTTAATGCAATCCACACATATCTCAAAATCAGTGAAGTCTAGGTTTTCCAAAATCCCATTCTTCACCAATTTTTTAATTCTATTTCTAGAGATATGCCCCAATCATCTATGCCACAAGATTGAGGATTTTTCATTAATTAGACCACGTTTTAAACCAATATTCGAATGCAGAGTTACTAATGATTGTGTAAACTCATGATTTAAGGTAATTTTATATAATCCATCACATAAATTACCAGAACCAATCATTATTGAATTAAACATTAAATTGAGTTTTCCACAACTAAATAAAATTGAATATCCAACACGATCTAATTTGGATAACGAAACTAAATTCCTAGAAATTGAAGGAACATAAAAAGTGTCTTCTAGATCCATCCGATGAACCCGTCTCTAAGATCAGTCGGTAGGTTCCTACAGCTACGACTTCAACTTTGAGACGGTTCCCCATATAGACAAATCTTTCACTTTCCTTCGGTTTCCTGGTTAAGAGGTATCCCTGCATGTCATTTGTAATGTGAATCGTGGCCCCAGAGTCAATCCACCAAGTATTAGAAGATACTCTTTGATTTTACAAATTTACCCATCTTTTTCTTTATAACTCCATGAGTTATAGCCAATACAGTTTTGGCATCCTTTTTCCCTCAACCTCACTTCCTCCTGAACACACATATTAGTCTGCTCATTCAAACTTCACTTATCTTTATTGGTGTTATAGTGAATTTTGAATGCACCGAACTATGATAGAAGTGAGTTGAGAATAAACTGCATGAGGAAAGTTTCATCAACTTGCATCCCTAAAGTTTTAAGTTTTGCAACTTTGTCACCATATTGAGGATGTGATCCTAAACTCCTAGGTGGCCATTATATTTCATTGTTGTTGATTCAACCATTATAGTGCCAGCAAGTGGCTTGTTGATCTTCAACAGCCTTTAACCAAATTTTACTTTAAGCATTAGGATAATGTTACTAAAGAGTCCTTTGGTCAATAACCAAGTAAGATCCCAGGAAGGTCGGAGGAGTCAATATAGTCTCCCTTCTAAGTCTAACCACTTTAGATAGCAAGCTATCTTTTTGACAGATCTTAAGAGATATTAACACAATATCTCATAAGTAACACGGAAAAAGGCATAAACAATATACATATTAAAGTTTTGAGAATTATGATAAACTATTGATATCACATAAGTATTCCTTTGGGCAAAACTTAGGTATATCTATTGTCCACTCGTCAAGAATCACTTATGTAGGTCTAAAGTAATTTATGCAATTTTTCAGCTAGTCATGTTACCTTTGGGTATTCAATTCTAATCTGTCAAATTATATAAGTTACATTATCCTACTCAGTTTATAATTATTTGAAAGTGACTATCCTTTGGGCTAGTCTCAATCTCCTAATTATAACTGCAATTGAGAATATTATCGACCTTAATGTTACCCTTTTAACAATTCTTTTATGTAGTTCTATATTCATAAGTTTTACAAATCTAGGCCACTTTGGCAGCTACTAAATTAGTAAACCCTATGAATACGAAACTAACCAACAATATTCTCTATTCATTAATTTTGAGTTATTTAATTATCATTAATTCAATCACAATTTTAATGAGATCACTATTTTTATGATTTCTAAAATTTCTTTTATGTGATTGCAATTACCAATATAATAATAATAACTCTGGATGAACAGGAATATTTATATATGTATTATAACAATCATGAATATCTAAAATAATGGTTAATAAGAATTACACCTAATATGAATTAACCACTCCAATATTTAATATTCAATGTCATAAAATTATATCATGATATCAAATTTAAATCATGAAAATATATAAATATCAACAATAAGTGCATATAATCAGATGAGGTAAAATCATAATTATTTAATAGACCGAATGATTCAACAAATTATAAAATTACTTTTAATCTATGTACTTTATCATAACGGCAGGCAATACACGCAATTTACTATCATATTATGATGATTATAAAAATTATTATCACTAAAATTGATACTAAATCAAAACATGCATATGAACAACATAAAGAATTACATAAAAATCTACACCTAACAAATCACAAAACAAAGTGAGTGGACTGTGCTCTTATTTAGGTTAGGCCCTAACAGATCATGTTGTCTTGTGAGTGAGGGAGCCCATGATGTGCATACTTAGTGGAGTGCACATCACATGCCAACAGAGTTCAAACCTTATAAACAAAAGTATGTTTTTATGAATAATTATAATTATGATATAATAACAATATTCATAAATATATTATTATTCCAAGGTGTATTGATTCACAAACTAAAGCTCTGATACCACATGTAAGATTTAATAATACATGTAACCAATAATAATACGGAATTAAACTTAATAGGATCTTGAATTCAATATAACTCAAGAATAAAACGAACATACCTTTGTCAGCCATTGAATTAGAGAAGTTGAGAAAATACCCCTAATAGTTGAATCTTGAATTCTTGGCTCACCTTCTTCTCTCTGTCTCTCTTAATTAGGATGACTATAAAACTTATAGTGATGGAATACTATCAAAAGAAGGGGAGTCACCCATCTTATATAGAGGAGAAAAGAGGGCCAGATAAACTCTATCAGAAGAATTCTTAATCCATCAAGGTTTCCTTCTTATCTTAGAAGAGTAATTATATTAAAATTCTAATTACTGAACTTTATCTCAAATATTGGCTTTATCTAATTGTGGAGTCCAAATAAAATAAAACATGTAAAATATGTAGGCTATTGGGCCACACTAGAAAATAAATCCAACAAGAGTGAGTTAACTCCCTCTGGGAATTTCTATAGTGCATATTTCTCCCGTGGACGTAGACTATTGTCGAACCACGTAAAATTCTTGTCTTCTTTTCGGTGTATGATTGATTTCTGGTGTCTCATAGTCCTAACAATGGTTTATCTGTCAAGAGTAACTACTATTCACTCTCAAATTCCTAGAGTACAAGGAGGGAAGGAGACCAATGGCTCGTATTTAGCAAAATCACCCGAAGAGGTCATAGTTGGGAAGATCAGTTGACTGGATGAATGTGTAGTGGTCCATTTTGTTCTTCGCTAACTGATTTTGTCTTCCTCTAATATGTTTGTGCTTTCTTGTCTTTCTCCAATTGCCAAATTGTTTTTTTCTTCTCCTTTTTTCATGTGGTTGTGTGGTTTTGCTTATTTGATTGTTGTCTTGCTGTCCAGTCCCTTTTTCCCCAGTGATATGTGAGCAGACTTAATCTTTTTTGACAAAAACAAAACAAAACAAAAAAAACACAGACCCTTTACTCGAATATTGAGAAAAATATTTGCAAATTTATGATGCGTTTCCTTGATGTTGCATAGAGCAATAACAAGTGCTGACTACCGGTTGGATGAGATCACTCATATAATTGAATTTGTTGGGTCTCTGCCATTGTTTGAGTCACTGTGTGCTCGTTGGGTTCTATGAATGCCATAGATGTGTTAATTCTTCAAACAATATTTAATAGGAATGCTGTTCAGTGGAGTCTAAACTTTTGCTCTTGGAAGTTTGAATTGCATCTATAAGCTTTGAGCTTGTTTATGTTAATTAAGCTGCCTCTATAAAAACTATAGTCATTATGCATTCCGTTAATGACGTAGTCCCAATTTCGTTACCAAAAAACAAATGGCGTATTCAAGGTTCCCTTTGAACTACAATGATGGATTTTATTTTATTTTATTTTTGCTTGAAATAAGAAAGACAGTAGAAGGGCACATCGTTCGGTATGGAATTTTGTATTAAAAGTTTTATTTGTGTATTGTATGCTTTTGCAGTTTATGAATTCATTATGCTATGTATTTTCAACCCTGTATATTTCGGGCAACGTTAATATTGGAAAAAGATGGAAGAAAACAAAAAAAATCATATATTGCATTAATCTTGGGAAAAATTACATGGACTAGTGTCCAGTAGGATAGGATAGCATACACAGAGTCACAACTTCCATTATAATTAAGGTGGGGACGGCGATTGGATGCCATCCTCTCATATCCCCCTTCATATAAAAAAGAAAAAATATGAGTGTTTCTATGTTAAAAATTGGAGTTGTTTAATTCTTCATGTATGTACGTACTACGTACTCATCATGGAGGACGAATAGTAGCATTATAATGTTTGGTTTGTATTCAATAAGTAGTGTGTAATTTAATGATTACTTTTTCATGCCAACGAAGAATGGTGAACCGGTTGCTGGCAGCCACTGTTGTCCTTGGATAAATGGAGCGACTGTGAATTGCATAGCCTCGTTTTTGTTTGTGATCACCTTGAAACCTTTCCAGTTGACCCTCTTGGCCGTATTAGCACCAGGGCCTCGGTTTGCATACTCAGCGTAATACAAGGTGTTGAGAGCAAAGTTCCCGGCCCAAGGCATCCATCCTGCTGGTTGGATAAAATCTCCCAATGTTGATTCCATGACGACAGTTCTCGAGTACTCCTTCCATGGCCGGCCCAAGTAGCTTGGAATTTTGAATCTTAGAGGGAAGAGCTTGTCTTCGGGGACAATCCGGCAGTTTTGGATGACTAGACCAGTGGGCTCTTTTGCACTTGTTCTTCCGTGAGCAGTCACCGTGTTTTGCTGGTTGTCCATGGGCTTCCTTACGATGATGAGAGAGTTCTGGATGATTGTAGAGGAATCGCCAAAGATGAAATCTACGGTACCAGAGATGACGCAGTTGCGATAGAATTGGCGATGTGTTTGGACGTACAATGTGTCTTGGTACCCATCCATTCTGCAGTTGTAGAAGGCAGCCATATCAGACTGGACTCGGAGAGCCACCGCCTGATGTCCTTCAGGGCCAGCTTGGTTTTGAAATCCCATTGACTTGCCTACGAACCCATTTCCCATTACACCTGCGCAATTAATTAATTAAAAGATTACGATTTAGGCAGGGGGGAGAGATGAGAAAGAGAAAAAAGATGATGATGATGACGGGGACGACTCACTAAAGGAGGCAGTCCTGAAGGTTGGGTAGCCTCCAGTATTGCTTTTTTTACCAGTGACCATAGTCTTTCGGGGTCCATCTCCATACATGAAGATGTTGACTTGGTCGTTATTAACGGTAATATATTCGTCATAAATCCCCGCCTTCACGTAGATAATGTATCTGCCCTTGTTGTTCTTTGGGTACGCGGCAAGAGCAGCAGCAATGGTTTTATATTGTCCACTCCCATCCTTGGCCACCACTGCATTAGGCTTCAACTGCGCATTGTTGGTTGCTAGTAGCTTTCGGTCTCCAGCTGAAACCCAATCAGGGTAACCCCCTCCTCCTTCAGCTTCAGCTTCAGCTTCGGTTTCAGATGCCTCCATAAGACGTCTAGAGCTTGCACTCGTGTTCACTGGGATATTGAATGCTGTCAAAATTTGAGAGATGGCTGAAACAATGGCCAGTGCATTGTCAGTGAGCTGTGTGGCGTTCAGAAGCCCATCCGACACTTGTTGCTTCAAATCTGGTTTTTCGATTCCATCCATGCATGTTTGCTGGTATGAAAGCACAGCGCTTAACCAGTTCTTGAGCTCAGCCTCTCTGTCGTTGACAGTGTGCAACTCGCTGTCGCCCACCATTGAAAAGGAGGCTTGAAGCTCCTGGATAGCATCTTGCAACAGTTCTTGGCAATCCTCAAAAGCCATTTTGTGATAAGAATCGGGGGCTGCTTTCCCAATGTTTGAAGTGTTATCCAATGCTGCTTTCATCTCATGGATGGCGAATTGGATGGCTGCCTGCATGAAGTCTTTCGGGGTGGCGCTTTGATTGTTGGCAACTGACTGAAGGCTATTTACGCATTCTTGTTTGTAGTCAGTCGGGGAACAAATGGCGGCAACAGCCTTGGACGTTGTTGACAATACATCATCACCAGAAGAATCGGACGATGATTTCTTATTGTTGTTTATACCAGTAATAAGACCAATGAGCACCGCTACGACAAGGATACCGGATACTCCTAGGATCATAAACTTGCCCCCTTTCATCTTTCAATCTTAGTTTGATTTTGCTCTGTCCCCAGTTTGTTTCTTTGTTTCTTGTTTTTTGTTTTTTGTTTTTTTTTTGTGTGGGGTTAAAGGTGGTCGGTTTTGAAACTGGTAATTATATAGAATAATTCCCGACGCATTGGGGGATATAGAGAGAATCTGTTTTAGCTTCAAATCAGGCCTGAGTTCTTATAAACGTGGGTTGTTCTAAATAAGGGTAAGTCACCAGTCCTTGTTTATAGGAATGGATGGGTGATTAAGTTTTTCCGGTTGTTTTTAGTCTTTCTCTGGATGAAAATGGACTTTGTTAAGTTTAGGTGGTGGTTTGGTCATGTGGCTTGGGACAATAGTCTTCCAAGACCAAGAAAAGATTGAGAAAAAAGGACAGTTAAAAGAAAAAATGACAGCTAGTACTAAATCCTCTCCAATGTTCTTCCGAAATGATCTCCAACGTAACTCATTCGTGGTGGGCTTCGTCTAATATTAGCGAATTTCTTCTTGAAAAAAATAACAGAAAAGAAAATGCGATGCTTTTTAAATCTCAAGTACATGCCATATATGCATATCATACTTCCAACTTCATTTATCCTGTTACATGTATATTTATTATGTTGAGTAAGTTTGGTATGGCTTCTATGCCACCTGGTAGTTTGAGAGCAAATGTATCAACCAATATAAAAAAAAAAGAAAAAACAATATATGTAGCACCACTCAAATAATATATTCCACATCCGGTATTTATTTTATTTTCAATCATTCAAACATGTACCTTATATATAAAAACAAAATAATAAATTTGTCCATTATATTCTCAACTATTCCACAACCTATACCCATTGCATTCTCAACGAGTTGAGATTCTCTCCTTGAAGCATCTCCTTGGCTTCCTACTGACAACGGCTGAGATCAGCTAGTCCAGATCCAACGGCTATAAAAAAAAATCAAAAATCAAAAAATTAAAACAAATTGAATTTGGTTTTTCTGCCCAAAGCTATATACAACTTATACAGGGCAGATATACTCACTCTCAATTAGCCCCCTTCTCCTCCACTGAACCCATCTTCACCGGCCACCCACTCCCGACGTTTTGAAACACCGGCGAGAAGCTCCTGAAAAATGTTGCTGATTGTTGTTCATGTTGCGGAAAAATGTTGCTGAAATTGGGCTGGAATGTGTGTTTTGTTAATGTTGATAATGTTGATGTAACTTATGGCTTGTATTTACAATTTGGAATTGGTGTTGGAACTCATAGATTGGTGTTCATAGTTGTTATTTTGATGGGTAATTTGTATTTATAGTTTTATACTTTTATCCGAGTAGGAATATTTGAATACATTTGAAGTAGCCTTGAATCATATTTTGTGTTTGTGCTAATATGGGGATTACCCATACTTCTCAAACGTGGAAATTATTTTCAGCTGAATTCATTACTTCAGAGCTCTGTTTGTTCTTTTTCTTATATGCTTTCTAAGGAAACATCTCAGTAGAAATTGTCTTCAAACAATGGTTGTTTGGTGAAGGCAATAAAATTATTAGCATATGGTTTATTTAATAATATTAAAGGCTCCTGGAATTTCTCTGGTTTGGAAAGGGACTCATCTGATTCACACACACAAGCCCTAAAGCAAGAAACTTATACAGGTTTCTTGTGTGAATGTTGTAAGCAAGTAACGAGCAGCTTACAACATACAAGTGCAGAAGAATAATTAAAGTTTTAGTATTATTTATCAAATAATCTTATTTGTGATGCTTGAGTTTTCCCTTTTGGCCAATGGTTTTATACCCGATTCATTTGACAAGTTCTATAATTTACAAACAAGTTCTATAATTCTTTATTATACCTGATGCAAACAAGACCAAAATACTATAATTTACAAGTTCTACAATCATCAAATCCATAACTACATTCATCAAATTTCCATTCATAACAATCTAAAATCCCTCCATCCATTCAGCAAAGCCAAAATGCTACAAACTTCAGAAATCATTCGATAAAATTAAAGTCAAAATGCTACAAACGCCAACAATACATTCGTCAAATTTTCCCAAAGCCAACCAATCAATAAGTTACATCATAAATACAAAATCATAAAAATTACAATGGCATACACCATCGCCTTCAAATGATTTTCAATCCTTTCAAGCCTTTGACCATAGTCATCATTTTCATTTTCCATCCTTTCAAATCTTTGATGATATTCATCATTTTCATTTTCTATCTCATGAAGCCTCGTCCTTAGATCATTAAAGTCTTCTACTGTTATAGCATCATAAGGTCTAGTGTTGAAACGGATTGTAGACGTAACGTCTTCATCATCTTCATCCACGAACTTGAAGTAATTGCAATGGGCAGTGTTATTCTACAATGCATGAAAATCAGTTAATTGAATAAGACAAATTAATTTGTAACTACAAAAGGATTAATATTTACAATACATACATATTTTGATGGACAAACAAAGAACAAAAGCCCTTGAATTCCATGCTTATTGGTTCTTACAATATATATGGCAGCTGTTCTTCCACAGTTGCACAGTAAACCCAAAGAATAAACTTAGACTATATTGCTAAAACTCTTAAAATTAATCCACCTACAAGCTTAACTTCATTATATATTTCAATTTAAAAAACTAATGAACCTCAAAAGGCACTTTCTAGTCGAAGTGATTTTAAAAACAGATTGGAGATAAATATATGTTAGGCCTTTGACATGTAAAATTTGACACCATCAAGTTTCAAATACGAATTCAACCAACTATAGTTCAAATGAGCTTCATAGGGACACACCATACTGTTTCAGACATTGTGCCTCCAACCCTCCTCCCCACTCCATCCTCCATAGAAAGTTCAAGGATGGTGTTTCAATTGTCAGAGCTTAGACAAAGATGCCCTAGTTGAACAACATGAGTATCCAAAAAGAATTCTTCTATGGCCTCATAATTATAGAAGTACCAATGCCTTTAACAATAGATAAATCTGAAGATAAGAAAAAAAAAAAAAAAACAACAACAACAACAACAACAACAACAAAACCCTAATTTTTCATGCCATAGCAACTATTGGATCATAAGCAAACCTCTTAGGATCAATTGCAAAAAGTGATAATTCTAGAGAAATTACTTGTTTGCCTCAAACATAAAGCCCTTAGTCATAAAAGCTTTAAGGGACCTCTGTTTGCCTCAAACACAAAGATTGCCTAGTGACCTCTGTTTGGGTACGCAAAGTAGATATATAATCTAACACTGTTTAAATCATGGATTCATGTAGGAAAAAGAAGAAGTGAAGTGAATCAAATAGAAATAGTTTTTTTTCCACAAATCTCATGTTGGAATGTGTCCTACATTGCTTTGAGTTGCCCCATCTGTGCTAGTTATAAGGCTTTAGTTTCCCTCTCCTTAATACTTGGGTTTTAAAGAGAAGTGTGGGTTGGGCTTTTCAACTTGGTATCAAAGCCTAGTTGGGCCTGTGACTGGTGGGCTATTTATCCAGCTAGTGTGTGTTGTGGTCCAGGAGGGTATGTTGGAATGTGTTCCACATCGCTCAGAGTTGCCCCATCTGTGCTAGTTATAAGGCTTTAGTTTTCCTCTCCTTAATACCTCGATTTTAAGAAGAAGTGTGGGTTGGGCTGATACAGACATATCATTTTTTATCACCTACTCAAAACAAACTCATGATTTATGCCACAAAAAACACAGTCAAGAAATAGAGAGAGAGAGAGAGAGAGAGCTTGCCTGTGTAAGGTTTAGAAGAAAAGTAGGAGAGAAAAAAAACAAAAAGCGTCGAGAGAGAGAAAGAAGGAAAGACGTCAGTGAGGGTGGGTCGCCGGTGTTTTAGGAGCTTCTCGCCATCGTCGAGAAAGGGTCGCTGGTGAGGGTGGGTCGCCGGAGAGGATGGGATTGGTAGAGGAGAAGGGGGTTAAGTGAGAGTGAATATATATACTTTGTATAAGCTGTATATAGCTTTGCGCGGGAAAACCAAATTCAATTTGTTTTAATTTTGTTTAATAGCCGTTGGATCTAGACTGTCTGATTTCAGCCGTTGCCAGTAAGAAGCCAAGGAGAGGCTTCAAGGAAAGGATCTCAACTCATTCACAACCACCCAAAAATTGAAAATTTTAGACTACGTTTGTTTCGACGTAAAATATTTTAACAAAAAACATTTTTCTTGTAAATTGATTTTTACGTAGAAAAATTATTTTTGTTTTCATTTTTCAATGTTTGGTTAACACTTGAAACAAAAACATTTGAACATTGTTATTTGGGCCCAAAAATTATACCCATTATCTAGATCCAGTGATATGTCAAGAAGATAACCAATCATTTTCTTGACACATTACTGGATTTAGAAAGTGGGTCTAAGAAGTAGGCTTATATCTCATTTTCCAAAACATTTTATTGCCTGAAAGATAAATTTTGATTCAATAAAGTGTTATTTATGATTTTTTAATAAGCTAAAATATTTATTTGAAAATGATAAATGTGTTAAAAAAGTAGTGAGTGAGTGTCAACTTTATTATTTGGGATAACCTACAAAAGTTAAAAAGTTACTAAAAAAAGTCCCTACTATTTGGGGAAAGCTTGTGGGAAAAGTCTAGGGCAAAACAATATGAATTTAACTACCAAAAAGTCAAAAGTTAAAAGTCAAAAAGTCAACAAAGATAGAATGGTCATTTTGATTTTACTACAATATTTTATTACACATCTTTTTGTAAAAAGTCGAAAAGTTATCCCAAACATACATTTTTTTTTTCTCTATTTTTTTAGTCAAAAAGTCAAAAAGTACACTTATATAGCACATCCCAAATTTACTTACAAAATTTTTAAAGGTAAGTCATTTTTAAGAAAATGATGCAAAAATATTTTTCTTAAAAAATATTTTATTTACTTTTTGTTCAACCAAATAACGGAAAATGGGTAAAATATTTCTAGCAAAAACATTTTACGTCAAAACAAACGGAGACTTAACGTCAAATTTCAAATATAATAGAAATATATACAAACCAAGTATAATCTAACCTAAAATAATAATTCAATACAAAACAGAGGATTATACAAAAACAATGTCATTCGTGCCCAAAAAAGAAACAAATATCCACAATCATGCCAAAAGGTAATCTGTATCGTGCCATTTTGACATATGGGTTAAAAGTTAGTTTTGTAGCTTTTTAACTCTTTTAAGACCACATCACTTCTTTATTTTATTTTTTTGTACATTTTTTTAAAAAAATTAAAAAATTAATTTTTAATCTATTTTTCAAAGTAAGTCATGTGTCACGACAAACATCAAAGTGTACCACCCCAAGAGTAATATTTACCAACAATAGTAATCCATACCAAAACAGAGGATAGCAAAATAAAAAATTATACAAAAATAATGATCACCGTACACCAACAAAAAAAAAAAAGTATCCACAATTTCCCAAGAAAAGCCATCTGTAAAAGTAATATTAACAATTAGTATTTATAGACTAACAGTTGAAATTTCAAACTATAAAAGAAAATTATCTAAAACTTTATTTTATTTAATCTTCTCAAAATTGTATAATTATATTGTCCTAATCATATGGTGCGTGTCCTAACAAGTTTTCTCCTCTCAAACGTCATTTTCAACTAAATTTAAAGCATTTTTGACACAGCTAGCCTAATTGTAACTAATTACAGCTACTTGTAGAAATATGAAAAGATTGATTGACAAAATAAAATGTGTATTTTATAATAATATTTAGATAGATAAAATGCAAACTAGCATTGGAGATGCTCATGTTGTTAATATTATATCACTTTGCATATCATTTCTAATATTGGCTGAAAAAGTAGTCAAAATAGAACTCACCTTTTCTTCTACCATATGGTATTTTTATTTTTTTATAAGTAAATTATAAATATATTTCTTGAAATTTGTTTAGAATATAAATTGTCTTTTATAATTTTGAAAATTACATCTCACCATTTCAAGTTTCTAATCATATAACAAATGACACATATTATTAATAAATCATTAAGTCAATTAATCATTTTTAATGATGCCTGAAATATATTTTAATTTATAATTTAAGTAATTTTATTGTTGTATAAGAGAGCAGTTATAAAATTCATTTTTTCTACCAATTATGTTAAATAAAAAATTATGACAACAAAATATTTATAATTTTTAAAACTGTAGGAAATAATTAATATTTTAAGAAAATCTTAAAGAGAAAATTGGCAATAAGTCCAATATAAGGGTTGCTTGAGGCGTTAGGTTCATTGAAATTAATTGTTTTTTTTTGGGGGGGGTGAGAAATCCATGCTTTGTCAAATATTATGGTGAGAAGTGCCTTTTGTTGTTTTGAAAGACATTTCTTTCCAGTTTTGCCCTTTTATTTTTTTAACCTATCTGTTGAAATTGTTCAAAAAATTTATCTGTTAAAATTCACCAAGCTTATTTCTTCCTGTCGGTTGAAATTTATCAACCATATTTCTTTATCTGTTGAATTTATTTGTTCAAATTTCTCCACTTTTTTCTATCTAGATTTTCTATCTATATGTTTAAATCTCTCTCATTTTGTCTATTTTTCCTTCTCTCTCATCTCCCTTCTCTGCTCTCTATTTTTCTCTTTCATCGACCAAAGAAGCATCTGCTTACTCACTCTTCTATCTCCTTTCACATTCTCTCTCATAGGGTTAGGGTTTACACAAGGGATTTTTCTTCTATGAACATATCTCTTGCTTGATATATCCATCCCTAGATATACGATCGTTTGGCAATCTAAATCTCCAACACATCTCTGGCGACACAACTCGAATGTCGATTCTTGAGAAATCATGAAATCAGCACAGAAGATTTTCGATCTCATATCAATATTTATAGACCCAAACACACAACTATATATGTATGTATATGTGTTTAGCCCTATGAGTATATAGGGTTTGGGGAATTGAGCAAGGAACGAGATGGAGGGAGAGTCGCTTTCTAAAAGTGAAAAGATCTGTTCAATGAAAATGGCGTTGCACTGTCAGACTCTTATGCCGGAACAAACCAGCTCACCATCGATGACAATCGCAAGATTCTTCATCACAGATGAAGACCAAAGATGGAGAGCATCACTACTTCTAAAGAAATTTAGATCTAGAAAGAGAGAGAAAATAGAGGAGTTGTGAGGGAAGTAGCACAAGAAGTGGCCTAAACCATTGTCGGAGAAGTAGACGGCCCTGTGCTGTCGCCACCATGAAATTTTGCCGACAATGACTTAGCGGCGGTGGAGGCAATTGAGGCAACAAAATTCTTGGCCCTCGCTTCTCTCTCTCTTTAGAGTCTTTGTTTCTCTCTCTCTTTAGAGTCTTTGTTTCTCTCTCTAGATCAATTGAATAGATATCAGTCTCTCTTCTCTCTCTGTCTCTATATATATATGTGTATGTATATCACAATCTAAACAGGTAAAATAAAATTAAACAGATAAGAAAAAATATGAGAGCATTTGAAGAAATGGACCAAAATATTCCCACACGCCATTTTCAACAAATCCTTGTTCTATTCTTTTTTTTTAGGTCTAAACCACCGGTATCCGGAAGTCCACAGGACCCCGACTAATCCGGTTCGAGCCGGGTAGGACCACAAGGACGGCAAAGCTCAAGGTTTTAAACACAGCTACGTTCCCAAGTCTCGAACCCGAGATCTTGGTTAAGCTAGCATAGCCCCTTACCAACTAAGCTACGTGCTTGTCGGTATCCTTGTTCTATTCGTGTATGCATAAGAATAGATAATTTGGGCATTTTGCAAAAACATATCCTTGTAGACATAATGTTTTAGCGCGTGGACTTTTAAACCAAAAAAAAAAAAAATTGAACTTATCACCCGAATATCCAATCTTCAAAAAATGTATGTGCAATTTATTTATTTGTTGTACGAGTATAATATGAGCATCCATAGTGAAGTTGTTAACACTTCACTAGTTAGTTAAGCTTGGTTGCTTATGCTTTTTGCTGTAATGAAATAATTAAAGACAAATTTTGGATGAAATGCTAAAAACATTGTCAAACTGTAACAACCCACTTAACATGGAGGATGGAAGAGAGAGAAAGAAATGAATGGAGTCAGATTATGACGGTACAAAATACCATTCAAATTATTAAAATCATCCAAATCACACTAATTGTGCATTTTTAAAAGTCTGGTAAGACGGAGCGGTTGGTGGTTCGGATAATCCAACTCGTACATTTAACCAAATCACCCGCCTATTTTATGTAAATTTTCAACCAAGTATAGTTTAATAAAAATACATTGATATATGTTCAATGATTTCTCAATTGAACCTAATATACTCAACAACTCTCTTATCAGTGAGTTGTTCACAATACCATCAAAATCGTACCAAATCATACCAAATCGCATATTTTTTTGGATTTTGGTGAACAGATTGATGAGTTGGGCGTCCAAACCTTGTGGGTCGGCACAGGTGGCGGTTTGAGAAAGCAAATCTGCCTAATATAACCGTCTCGACCCGCCTATCTTTTTTTATTTTTTTTTATTTTTCTTTCTTTCTTTTAGGATAAATGACAAATACACCCCTTGAGGTTTGATTAAAATACGAATCATCCCTTGTGGTTTTGAAAATTACATTCTATCCCATCAGGTTTCTAATTTTATAACAAATCGCCCCTTTTATTACTAAATCATCAAGTCAATTAATAATTTTGAATGATATTAAAAATATGTTTCAATTAATAATTTAGATAATTTTATTATTGTATAGAAGAACAATTATGAATTTCATTTTTTTAATTAATTCTGTTAAATAAAATTTTTAATAAAAAAATATTGATAATTTTTTAAATTACATGACACAATTTATATTTTAAACAAACCATATTCATTTTTTTTTTTTTTTTTAATATATGCGTACACAGATTCCACGTCCCACCTTAGATAAATTCTCAATTAAACCCTATGTATTCAACAGATTGGTAAACAACATTTGTCTGCTCTCTTGCTCCTCCGCCGATCGCAGTCGCCGCCGCTACTACCCTTACCGATCGCCGCCGTGTATTCTCTGCTCGCCGATTTGGTACGTGATCCATTTTTCTTTGCTCTCTATGTTCTCTCTCTCTTCTCTCTCTTTCTATTTGCTTTCTCTGTGATGATTAATCTGTGAATCTTAGCATACGGATGGATTGTCTCTATTTAGTCAAGTAGAGGAGGGTGAATTGGTTATATCTGTGTGTGTATTGTGTGCTGTTTTGTTTTCTTGAGAAATAGTGCAGTTGGTTCTCATGGTCTGAAAGTTGTTCAAACCTTGAAAAGGTTATTGTGGACTATGCTTCTCAGTACTTCATCTCTGAAAATCCATGAAAGCTTTTGATTTTTTTTTTTATCGACCTTCAATACAATGATTTTGATTAATTTGTAAATCTGAGAAATTGGTTTAATGGTGGTTTTGATTAATTCGTGAATCTGAGAAATAGATTTAATGGTAGTTTTGATTAATCTTTGAATCTGAGAAATAGATTTAATGGTGGTTTTGATTAATTTATAAATCTGAGAAATAGATTTAATGGTAGTTTTGATTAATCTGTGAATCTGAGAAATAGATTTAATGGTGGTTTTGATTTTGATTTTTTTTTTTTTGATCGGCCTTGCGGGTCGGTTAGTGTCGCGACCCAAACCCACCCTTATAAGTTTGACGTCCTAATCGGCCAGTAATCTGAGATTACCAAAGGCCTTCCTATACAATCATAAATAATCGGGGTTAACGGAAGCAATATACAAAAACATCAATAGTCCAATGAGCTGTGCATTTATATGAACAAATATTTACACGCAAAAACGTTAATATACCCACATTCAGTACATAACTTGTAACTTAACATCTTATATATAACATATGCACATAACAGAAGTTTACTTCATGATCAAAAGCTTGACAACGGCCTTCCAGGCCTAGCCCCAACTCGGAGGCACTTAAAACAACTCGGTAGGCTTCAGAAGGGTAGTTCGGCTAAAGACCTCTTCTAGACTTGACCTCCAGAACACTCACCTATACATATATGTATATATAAATAGGGAGTTAAAGCCCGGTGAATAACATTAAAGTAAAGGGATTAGTGAACGAATTCCAAATATATCATATTCGTAAAACAAATCATGACACAATCATTCATATCAGTCTCATATCAGAACATAACATAATGGTACATCTCACAGAACACATTACATATCGCCCTCCGACTAGAGTAATTGGTTCCGGATACTGATTAAACACATATCACCACAATGAACTGGCTAACGAGATCTCATATCACATATATGTCATGGACCCGCATTTACATGCCGTCCCCCATGACTTTGTACTATATGTGGATGCCATAATAGATCAAAATAAGACATTCGTTCATGTATCAAAATAACATTTCAGAAACCATAGCTTATCAGATAACAGTTTAAACATATACCATACAAACATATCTGTTTATCAGATAACAGTTTATACATATACCATACAAACATATCTTTACAGAAATGTTACTCACAGTGGGCTTCCAGAACGGTTGGTCAAGCAGTCCTTGACTCGTGACCTACAATCACAAATATGCATAACACGATACACAATCATCTTAAACATGTTTAGTTCACTTAAGCTTTTAAATATGGATGACTAGAATTAAGAATTAATTAGATTATTAATTTCCTTTAACCTCTAATTAAAACATGTTTAACCATGTATTAACCAAACTAATTAAATATAAATAATTTTTTTTTTTTTTTGATAAATAAGCAAATATTATTAAGAAAGCATCAAGACGATGCAACCAATACAAGAAAACCACCCAGAAAGGGAACCAATAAAACAAGGACTAACCAATCACCTCATCTAGAAAATCTAAACACACAAATAAATCCGGATCTACCCTACCCTCCAACCAATTATACAAAACTAGAGAAAGAAGACTTTGTAACCAAGAAACACTATGAGAAACCGCTAAGAAGGTACGTCGATTCCTTTCCAACCAAAGCAACCACATCAAGCAGAACGGAGCCAATAACCAAGCACGGCTCTGCCGCCGGCCAAGACGAACGCCTCGCCAAGCCCAAAGGAACTCAAACACCCCTTGTGGCTGGACCCAAGCAAGTCCAAAAAGTGAACAAACGAAGCCCCACAAACACGAAGCCACCGAACAATGAAGAAACAAATGATTCACTGACTCCGCATCCTCGCAACACATACAACACCGATTCACAAGGATGTGCCCCCGCCGCATCAAATTATCCAAAGTAAGGTTCCAACCTAAAACTACCGTCCACATGAAAAAGGCGACCTTAGTCGGAACCCCCGGAACCCAAACACTTTTCCAAGGGAAGACCCAACCAGCATCTCCCATCAACCCCTGATAAAATGATGCTACTGTGAACCGCCCCTTTGCCCCCAACCTAGTCCATACCAATACATCGGAATCCACCCCTACTGGTCCAAAACCATATAAAAAATCCCACAACTCCACCAACTGAGCGACTTCCCAATCATGAACCTGTCGCCATAACTTAATATCCCAAACTACCACACCCCCACCATCCAAATAGGAAGCCACCAATGCATTTTGATCTAATGCAATATTAAAAATCAAAGGGAAACAGGTCTCCAACACCAACTCCCCACACCACAAGTCTTTCCAAAACTGCACCCTACTCCCCTCCCCCACCTTAAACCCTATCCACTTCCAAAACTCTACCCTTCCTAACCAAATCCCTTTCCATAACCCACACCCATAAGTGCAGGTCACAAACCCAGAAACCCAACCCCCTCTGCCTAGCCCATATTTAGACGCCACCACTTGCCGCCACAATCTGTAAGGCTCCAAAGCAAAACGCCAGAGCCACTTCCCTAACAAAGCTCGTTAAAAGTCACCAACTGTTGAACCCCCTGTCCTCCAACTTGCTTGGGTTGACAAACCTGACCCCAATCAACCAAATGATATTTAAAATCATCACCACTAGTCCCCCACAAGAAGTCCCTCTGAAGCTTTTCTAACCGATGAGCCACCGACACTTAAATATAAATAATCTAATCATATGCCAACCCTTATTAAGTTCACTAATTACACAATCAAACTTAAATTAGGCTCATACACATTAAATTACAATTAAAATATCAAAATCTAGAATTTAAGTGTAAAATCATAAAACATGCAAGTTTAAGTTCCAAATTCATCTTCCATGGAACATTCTTTTGAATTTCTTTAAGCCATGCAAGGAAACATAAAAGCATGGACATGAATTTCCAACATGAAACACAATTAAAACTTTAAAACAAAGCTCAAGTGTTCAATTGAAAGATCAAAATTTTAATTAATTTGGAACATTACAAAACATGCCTATTTTGAGCTCTAAATTTAAAAATTCATGGAGTTTCCTCCTCCAATGTGAAGAACTATGCAAGAAATCAAATGTATGAATAAGAGTTTCATGAAATCAAGTCATGCATGTCAAAACCTTGAGCTAAATTCTTCAAATCTAACCATGGATGTCATGTTCTTGCACTAATTCTTACAATTCCTTCTCTTTTATGTTCATATGAATTCTTAACATCATAAACTCCCCAATTATACATGATTTCTCCTTATTTCAACTTAGGTTCTACAATCTCATGAGTATAACACTTCAATTTCATAAAATTAGAGGAGAATTCCTACCTTTAATGCTTGAATTGGTGCAATTTTAACTTGATCTCCCTTGATCTTCTTCTTCCCCCTTTTTTTTTAATCTTCTTGAGCTTTATCTCCTCTCTCAAATGTATATCTCCAGCATAATGCACAGTTCTTGAGCTCTCTGGAGCTTTATCTCCTCTCTCAAGTGTATATCTCCAGCATAATGCACTCACTCTCTCTCTTGGCTCCTCTTTTCTTGACTATATTGATGAATAGGGTTATATTTAGCCACTAATCTACTAGTATACTTTAGTTAGATTAGATTTAGGCTAATTCATCATATTGAATTAAATTACACCAATCACATAATTAAATCAAATTCCCTTAATTTAAATTAATCTTTATCATTTATAATCTTAATGACACTAAATTAAATTATACTAATGTGTATTAAGCTCTAATTCCTATTCAATTTTTTAATTCCAACCTATTAAAATTAGCGAATCAAACGACATCAATTTTTGAATTAAACCTTTCGGATAACTCTAAAAATTCCAATTAACATATCCTTATACTCAATTTTGATTTCTGAACCCCTTTATGTCGTCAATTTCAGTTTCAAAGCCGAGTTCACAACGGATAGTTTCTCAATTTAAACAGATATTTACAACGAATCAAATTAGATAATTCACAATTAATCACTTGGCACATGTCAGAATTAAAATTCAATACATAATTCATCACTTATAATTACGATTAACATTTTGGGGTCGTCACAGTTAGCTACTATTGCTCAATAAGAAAAAAATGTCTAATTTGTTAGCTATTGTTTGGGTATAAAAAATGTTTGAGAAATCTTAACTATGTGGGCAAAAAAGGTTTTGGCTGAAATATTGAGTATTTGAGTTTTCATTTATACTTGCTTATTATAAACTGCCAAACCACCCAAACTGCCAAGTCAAAACCACCATTATTTGCCAACTAAACTGCCGGTTTTTGATAAACAAAACGGCAATTTCTTATGTCAATTTTGTCAATCTGCCACCCGCCGTGCAGCTTCTATTTTACCCCTAAACCATACCGACCCACATAGCGCACTCCCCTACTTATCAGATTCATAGGGAAGAAAGAAGCAGACCTTGCTGTCACCTCACCTCTCCTCTCGCCGCCGACTGCCGTCGCCCTAGTTCTCTCTCGCTCTCTCTTCTGTTAAATCTTTTGGGCAATATATTGCTTATTTACTCTCTCTCTCTCCATATTTTTGTTTCATCTTCATGAATCATATCAATGTTACCTTCATATTATTTTTTTAAACTTTTTTTTTCAACCTTTTTATGGTTGTTCACAGATTTTTACTCTGTATTTTAATTTGATTCAATCATTTTTTTCAACCCTGCTTCCCAACTTTTTATTTTTTCTTGAGCTTTAGTTTAGCTTAGGTTGAGGGGATTTTTTTTTTGTTTTTTTGGCTGATTGTTTTGCTGGTTTTCTTTGTTCAATGAATTATTTACCTAAAAAAAAAACAAAAGAATGAACATGGCAAATTTAATAGATTGTTTGGAACAAATTTATATTCTTCAAGTTGTCGATTATATATTTTATTTCATTTTTGTTGTCAGTATTTTGATTTATGTACTTCCAAATCTATGAATAGTTATGTGTAACATTGTGTCATGTGTCTTCCATTTGACACTGTTTCTTTTTAGGGTTCATTGTAAATTTGTATTTTGTAATAGATAATGGACGAGGGAAATACAAGTGATGAGTGCTTTGGATTGTTATTATAAATTTTTTTGAATTGTCGGATTTCTAATTTTATACTTTGTCAATGTTGAATGTCAGATGAATGGATTGTATAATTTGTTTGGATTGTTGGATTTCTAATTTTTTAGTTTGTCAATGTTGAATGTCATATGAATGGACATCTATTTTAATTTCAACTGTTTTAGCTAATTTATAAATTAGGTTTTTTTCTTCTTCAGATTTTATAATTTGAATTATGCTTTTTCTAATCCACTAATCCGCCCGAACCGCCAAGTAAAAACCGCCATTATTTGTCAATTGCTCCGTCAATTTGTGATGGAAAAATGGTGGTTCCTAACACCAAATCCCATATGTGGGATGAGTATGCCTTTAGTAGAAGAGAGATTGGGGATAAGGGGGGGAAAAAAGGGAGGAGGGTAATGACGTATGATTTTTTTTTTTTTTTACTTTTATTCTTAATACATGCTTTAATATCTTTATTGTAACACTCCACATACTTACTAAACTAATAAACACAAAATTAGATCTCGTTTTTTCACTTTTTATCATAGAGAATATATTAACACACATAAAACATGTCTAACAAGATTTCGATTGTTTGTTGTAGTTTAGTAATTTCGTTTGGCCTCATTGGTGCAACTTGTAATAAAGCTAAAAGTTGACAATAAAAAAATAGAAGTTAAAAACACCATTTTTTAAATTTCAGATAATCAGTTTATTGAAGTTGTGTTTGTTTATTAAATTGTAAATAAAAGTTGTATTAAACAGTTTGACATATACTCTCAAAATAAAATAAGCTCTAAGCAATTTACATAAATTGCACTAAACAGTTTCATTAAAGTCTACGAAATTGTGAGTTTCTACCCTTATTCTTCTCTGTCCTTGGTACCCCGTCCAAGCCCTTCCCTAAAGAGAAGTAAGAGAGGACTCTACCTTGGGCCCACAATCTCTGAGGAAAAATAGGCCTCCAAATAGCAATACTACAAATCAAGAAATTTTACCCCGAATCATCAATCGAGGGCTCAGATTCATTTCCATATAGACTCTACACTTGTACCAATTCAATCTCTGCCACACAACACCACCCAAAAAAAACTAGGTAGTTATATTTGGGAGAGTAGGTTTTCTCCCCCCAAATTCTTTTTTTCCATTATAATGTTAAATGCATTGGGTACATCGTGGGTATACAGGGGTATCGTATGGGATAGGTATGCTGGGGAAAAAATTGCATTATTCGAAGAGTATAGTCATCTTTGAAAACCTTCACGTAATTTGTAAGTAATCATTGCCCTTTACTCACGAATTTGCCCTCTTTTGCTTCGTGTTATATACAATCAAAATTACATAAAATAAAATAAAACTAATACTTTTATAAGAAGACTAAAAAGAAAGAAACAATTAGATATTAGGGTTCATAAGTTGGTGTATTTATTTCATTATTACTTTCATAATCTTGATGTTTTTGTATTTGTTATTTGATTAGTTGATTTTCACACAGACACATATCTATATAGTTATTCTCTAGGAAGCACTGACATGTCTGGCAAGCCATGTATCAGTGTCGGACACTGACACCGTCGGACACGCAGTGGACACGTGTCCGACACTCAGCCTGGAGTGTCCCTTTTTTTTTTTTTTTTTTTTTTTTTTTGTCTTTTCATCTCAAACACGTCTTGGACACGTTCAAGACCCTAGCCCCAGAGAGAGAGAGAGAGACAAAATACCCTAAAATCGAAGATTTGTTCAGGCGACATGTTTGAGACCCATCGAGAACTATTCAAAGTTGTAGCAACAAGAGAGATAAGAAATGGAAGACGAACAAGCTAGATGAGAGAGGGAAGATGAACAAGCTTTCCATCTGCGATGAGCGAGAGAAAGCTTCCTGCTACTGCAATAAATTTTTGGTTTCCCTCTTTTTTTTTTTCGTATTCCTAGAAAAGAAAAGGGTGTACAGCTTTCCACCTTCTAAGCTAATAAAGGTTCACCTGGAAGTCAAATGGTCAAACAACTGGCTTCCACCTACTAGTCAAATGGTTAAAATAACGTATTTACACTACAGAAAATGACACTTTTGGTGACCAAACAATTTTTAGTCGCCAAAAGTGGTGGAATTAGCTACCAAATATTTTATTAGTCGGCAAAAATAATAAGATTTAGCTACTAAAGTTTTTTAGTCGGTGTATATTGCTTATCGGCCATAAATTTAGTCGCTAATAATGACACAATTGGCTACTAAATTATTATTTAGTCGCTAATTGTTGAACAATTGCCAACGAAAACAATTTTTGGTTGCCAAATGATATAGCTGTTAAATTTTATAATCGAGAAATATAGCTTATTGGCGACCAAACAATATTTTTGTCGCTAAATATTCCATCATAGGCTACTAAAAAACGTTTAGTTGCGTTAGTATATATTTTAGGCTACTAAATTGTTTTTTAGTCGGTGTCTTATACCTTTTGCCGACAAAATAATCTTTAGTCACCAATTGTCATCAGATGATATTCAAAACCTTTTAGCCACCACACTAGTTTGGTTGCCAATGATTCAGTTCTGGTGACCAACAAAAACATTAGTCGCTAAAGCTCTAAATGTTTAGATTTATTTTCGCGCCTATCGCACACATTTTGCCTCTCTTTGTATACACACAGCCACAGAACATCTCTTGCTTTGTCGTTTCGCCGCGCAAATCACCAGCACACCTCACGACCTCACAACCTCAGCACCGTCGTTTCCTGTACGCCGCAAATCACCACAGCCACCGCCGCTAACAGGTTCGCTCCCTTTCGCTCTCTTGCTCTGTCGCTTTCTATCTCGATCTCACTCTATCTCGCTCTCTCTCTCTCTACCCCTTCTATTTCCCCAACTGTGAACTTTGCTCTAGGGCTTTTATTCTACCCATTCCGGTTAATTTTTTCTTAATTTTTGAAATGGGTTTGTTTGAAGTGGTTTCATTACTAGAGTTTTATGGGTTTCATGTTGTAAATGGGTTTGATTTTAGGGTTTGATACCTTTCCCCCTATTTTTCCTTTCTCTCATTAGTTTCAAAGCCCTAATCCATTGATTGTCTATCTAATCTCATGCATTCTGATTATTTTCATTGAAATTTTCTCTCTCATGTATTTTACTCATCATTATTTATGTAAATCTGTGTATGAAATTTGCATACACAGATTATCTGAGATTGAGATTATCTGTGTATGTATTTTGAGATTGAGTTTACATTTAAACTGAAGATGGGGTTTACAGTTAAACTGTAAACTGAATCTTCAGTTTACAGATTGGGTTTACACTAGCCTAGCAAGACATGAATGAGTTTACATTTAAATGGATTAAACTGAATAGGTAATCTGTGATTGGGTAATCAGTTTAGATGTAGTGGCGAAGATTCAGTTTAAATATAATTGATATGTATTCTGAGATTGGATAATCTAAACTGATACATACACAGATAATCTGTGTGTATTCTCATCAGTTTAAATATAATCTCAATCAGATTATTTGTGTATTCTCTGTTTTATGTATTCTCTTTTTATTCTCATCAGTTTAAATTTTGTGTTATGAGATGGAGATTATCTGTGTATGTATTCTCATCAGTTTAAATATAATTGATATCTATTCTCATTTGTTTAGTCAATTATTTGCTCATGTCTTGTATCATTATTCTCATAAATTTTGCCAAAAACAGACATTTGGCGACTAAGAGTTTTGTAGCAAAAAAAAAAAAAATTGGCTACTAAAAGGTTTGTAGCCAAAAGAAAATCAAACATTTGGCTTCTAAAAGATTTCGTAGCTAAAAACAAAAGCTAAAGAATAAAAACACTTTTGCCGACTAAAAATTTAGTAGCAAAAAATGTGGGACTTTAGGCAACCAAATATTTAGTAGTCAAAATAAGAACTATTTGCCGACTAAAACTTTAGTAGCTAATAATGTGGGACTTTAGGCGAGCAAATATTTAGTAGCCAAAAGAAGAATTCTTTGCCGACTAAAATTTTAGTAGCTAAAAATATGGGACTCTAGGCAACTAAAAGTTTGGTCGCCAAAAATGCACTAATTTAATTTTATGTCCAACTTTTTGGCGACTAAAAAGTTAGTCAGAAATTGAATACATTTGGCGACTAAAATAATTTTAGTCGCTAATTACCTTTACCGACAATTCTTCCACCACTACTTTTGTGACCAAATAATTTAGTCGTTGAAACCCTTCGGCGACTAAAAATTAACTTTTGGAGATTAAAATTTAGTCGCTAAAAGTGAAAATTCTTGTAGTGTTATATTTTTGCTAAATGTTCATTTTTGGGTGTTTGCAGCTGAATGTTTAAATTTTTAATTAGTGTTAAATTGTTTTTTTTATAACTTTAAATAAGATATTTATATATGTGACAAATATTATATAAATAAATAAATATATTTTTAACGTGTCCTTAGCATGTCGTGTCCGACATTTTTTGAAAATTAACGTGCCGGCGTATCTGTGTCGTGTCACGTGTCCATGTCCGTGCAACATAGGTTATTCTGTATGTTATATACTTGAAGTGAAAGATTTGCAAGTGCTTGAATTGAAAGATTTTCATAAAGCATTATAAAAAACTTTAAAAAAATTAAAGATTTATTGATGTATCCTAGTTGTATCCATATCCCACTTTTTTAAGATTTTGCCATATTGGTGTACCCATAACGTACGCGTGCCAGTATCTATCCCTGCACCCATGCTTCATAGATTCTAACCATTTGTCATTTATAACTAACAAAATAGGAACAATTTAGACAATATAACCACTTTTTGTTGGTGATGTTGGACGGCAGTGGTGGTTATAGACTAGGGAAGGAAAGGAGTAACAATGGATAGGGAAAATTGATAAAGCGGTGGCAGTGAGTTGGGGAAGAAGAAGGGTGGTGATGGATTACGGTAAGGATAAGTGGTGATTGTCAATAGTAATGAAGGGAAAACAGTGATTAAATTGTGTAAATTGCCCGTTCTCTATTAGTTATAACTAACAGCTACAAACGGATGGTCATAATTGATACAATTTTAAAAGTTGAGGGTTTAAATTGAAATAATTAAAATTTTAGGGTTTGATTTGTTAACAAGGTAAAACCTGAGTGTTTTTTTTTTTCGTTTGGTTGTAATTCCCAAAAAATTATAAATATAAATGTTACCAAATAGGGCATTAGTATTTTATTTTAGGGTAATTATACTTACCTCCTTGAGGTTTGAGGAAAATACAATTAGCCCCACACTTTTGATATAATTACAATTGCCTCCCTCAAGGTTTTAATTTACATAACACTTTGGCCTTTTTCCAGTAATAAATCATTAGTCGTATGAATGAAAAAATGATGTTATCATATCTTTCCTACTAAAATGTATATTTGTCTTTGTTTATTTCGAAGTCTACGCATCATTGACATTAGTTTCAATCGCTTTAACCATACTAAAAGGGAAGTTAGTGTAATTATGGCAAAACTGTAAAGCTAATTGTATTTTCTTTAAACCTCAAGGGAGGTTAGTGTAATTTACCCTTCATTTTATTAGGCAAATTGGACAGAAGTTGGAAGTTAAACGAGGCCCATCAAGAGCCCAAGCACATATTGCTCGCCAAACCTTGATATCTCCGAAAGCCCTATCCAATAAACCCTAGCCATCATGCTTGAACTCAAAGTATGCACGCTATCTAGGGCTGAGTTAAAAAATCGAAAAAATCGCAAAACTATACCATCCAGACCAAATCCAATGGTTTGGTTTGGTTTGGTTTTCTCAATGCATGGTTCGGTCCGTTAGGCGAACCGTATTTTATGATTCAGTTTGTGGTTTTATAGTTATGGTTTTGGAATGAAACAAAACCGAACCGCTTAAATATATATATATATATATATTGTTATTTATTGTAGGCACTTGAATACCTTTTTAGTATCCCATATATATTTATAAGTTGTTAACCCTCTACTCTTGCAAGTGTGCCTTTATATAATTGTAGAACTAGTTTTAAAGAATCATTTAAACAATTTTTGTTTTTAAAATGATAGCATATTATTTAATGTATGTTGCGATCATATTGTGAATGATGACAAGTTTTACAAAAATTGTGATTCCAAACTGAACCGAACCGCGTTTTCATGATTCGGTTTGGTTTGGTTAGGTTACAAAATTTTCATAGTTCGGTTTAGTTCAAAAATTTATGGGACTGTAAGTAGTGGCTTGGTCTTGGTTTATTTCAAAACCGAACTAAATCAAACCATGCTCACCTCTAGCACTATCTGAGCATATACATCACATTACTTGTATATATTGGGAGAAATTATTGTTTCTTGGGTTGTTGGATGCTCAAATCAGAAGGAATGGCCGAAGCAGCTAAAAGCAAACCAGTGATTGGTCTTTCATGGGAACCGAAGCTGCCTCCACTTCCATCTGGAACCAAAAAGGGGTCTGATAAGCCTCCTCGAACTTTGCCTGAAAGTAGTAGTAGTAGTGCTGTGATGTATAAATCTAACACAAAGCTCATAGATGGCCTGTTTGTTCCACTGAACAACCCTAAAAAATTGAACAAATTACTGAGGAAGCAATTCAAAGATACTGCTGGGAAGAATTGGTACGTGCGGATCTAACTTTTTTATATTTTTTTAATTTTTTGTGAATAATTTTTTGAGTTTTTGTGATGTGGGTGGGTTGGTTGGTTGTATATTTATAAATAGGTTTGACATGGCGGCCCAAACCCTCACCCCTGAGTTGAAGAAAGATCTCCAGCTACTCAAGGTGCAGTGACTTTCTTTCTTATCAAAATGTAGTTTCTTTTGCTACTACAAATTATATTGGTGTGCTTACTGTACTAAAATAATGTTCTGCAAATGGGACCAAATCAAAAGTTTTCTTCAAAATTGAAAGTTTCCTTTGATTTTTTAAGTGTTCTTTTGATTATCATCTTTGAAAACCTCCTTGATACATGTCACACATCAACGAATGGTGATCGTAAAAGAGCTCTCTTTTATGGTTTAACCTTGTGAAAAAAGGGACTCATCTTTAATTTGTTTGTGAATTGGGATGTTGTGTATTTGCTATGTAGCAAGCTTTTTTGTGTTCAGCAAATATATCAATGTGTAAATTTGGTTCATGCTGCATTGAAGCTATGTGACGGAGGACAGTGCTGTTAGGGCTGTTTAGGGGCTGTGAAAACGCTGAAATTTAGGAAAGAAAGAAAGAAAGAAAAGAGAAAGTAGGTCTAGGAGTCACTCCTAGAATTCCTTAGGCATCACACTTAGGATTTGATTGCATTGCACAATGCACAAAGGAACTTCAAAAGCTCTGAAAATTCTTTAAAATATTAACTCTATTAAATTACAAATATTACATGACTTTATAAAAAATTAGGAGACTTCCTAAATCAACTAGAACTAAGAAAGAAAACTATTAAGGGTGTGTTTGGTTTGGTTTTGGGAGATGAATTTTCAAAAAAAAAATTTAGAGAGAGTTTAGAAATTTTTTTGATTTGTTTGGTTGTATATTTTGAAAATAATTTTGGAGTATGAGAGTTGGGGATGATTTGATATTTTATTGCAGTTGATTAGATGTGTGTGAGAGAAAAAATGATTGAGAATGAGAGAGGAGAGAGAAAAAGAGATTGATTGATGTGTAGGAGAGAGAAAGTGATTTTGGAAATTTTTTTCCAAAATCATTAAGCCAAACAAAATCTTAAAATTTTTTCTCCAAAATTACTCTCTCAAAAACAAACCAAACAAGGCCTAAATCTTTGGCTTTCAAAAGCTCATCTAAGACTAAATAAAAAACATAAACAAGAAACTAATTAAATAACGTGACCTACAAGATGATCTATGGGCGACCCGTATAGCCCATGTCCAGAAAGTTATGAAATTACCAAAATACCCCTAAACATGCAAATTGACAAAGACTTGACCTAAAAATAATAATAGGACAAGACCCATAAGCTTAAAACATAACCATCCAAGGTCCCAAGTGAGTTGCCCATCATCCAATGCATGCCAAATCAAAGCTTGGGCCTTAGAGGCATCTCTTCCATGTCTCTTGTACACCTTTAAGAGGTTGTTGCCACTTGCCTCCATCACTATGGTAATGATAGGAAATTTAAGCCATCAAAAATCATCCTATCTACAAATTTATTTTCACCAGCTAGATTTGCATCAACGGAGAATTGATACTGTAGCAACTTAGGATAAAAGCTTGCCTAAATTGTAGTAAAGATTCTTGCTAAACTTTCTACATTAGTAAATATTGCTGGCGAATGTGGCTCAGTCTTTTGACTGAATTATTTTTGGGATGAGAATATATGTTCCCTCCAGTCAAATTTTCTAAAGGGTTCATAAAACGTGCATTGTATTTATGCCAGTCATTACAACATTTTGACAGTGATTTTTTAAGCTTTAGTTAGGTAGTTACAAATAGTTTTAGTAAAAATTTAGTGATTCCAATACTTGCTCTGCCCCCTAGGATCTATTTTGCTGGAGTTGTTGGGCTTTCAACAAATTTTTATTGATCCATCAATGAAGTGTTAAGCTATTTACAATGAAAATGAATACAATTTTATTAAAAAATTATGTTGCAAGTCTAAATATATATACTAGTTGTGTTCGCCTACCCAATGCGTGTCTTGTTAGACCTAGAAAATATAAATTTTAATTTTGATTTTGATTTAAAAGCACACATATTGTGTGCCGCTCAAGTGGTAAGGGTCTTGTCTACTAGACCAAAGTACTTCGTTTCAAGTCCCAACATCCTCTCTATATAATTTTGTATTTTAAATAGGCTAGAAGAGCATTTTCGGAAATCAAAATGTCACATTGTGTCAACACCATCTCAAGCCTTCACTATAATAGTATATATATATATATATTGATGGACACATCACATTTCGATATCGATATTGCGAATTTTGAAAAAAAATTATAGATCTTTACTTAAAATTATGAATAATTTGTAAGTATTAAGTAGAAATAGTGATGCATAATTTTGAAGGTCAAATGTTGTAATAAAATGTATATTTGACATTCTTATAATAGCATACATAGTGTGACAAATATGTGCTGCAGAATACATAAATAACACCAATGATTAAATATTTATGATATATGATGACAATTATACTAACCAAATAACAAATATAAGTATAATATACAAATAAAGTTCAAATAGATAGATTGAAATGTACCTTTTAATTAATGTAAATACACAGAATAAAGTTCATATACATAGATAACAATCCATTAGTACACCAACTATTTAATATGACTATTGTCTACTACCATTATATATATATTTTTGGATAAGTAGTATTACCCCTATGTTCAATACAACATGGAGTTTTTAGCTGGCTTGCATGTGGGGCCCACATTGTAGACACAAATTTTGAAACATGAAGTGTTTCAACACATTTCAAAATTTTATGTTATAAATGTCCACTGTTTAGTTTTTGGACTAAACAGTGTTGATTATTTGAATAGCAGGCTCCTATTTCCGATCTGTATTCTAGATCGTTAATTACACATTTTATATAAATGAAACCTTCGATTAATGAAGAACAAAATAAATAACAAAAGACAATTTAAGAAAAATAAATATTTTATTAAAATTGTTATGGGTTTTGAACCCTCGAATACAAAGTACAATTGTTGGGTTTGGAACCCTTTACCTATTCATCGCCATTCTGCGTTTGTAGCGTAGGCTCTTGAATTCTCTGGGCTTCTATTCTTCTTTCTTGTAACGACTTCTTTAGCTGTTGATGTCTTTCTCTCTCTCTGGTATTCTCACTTCTGATTCTCTGATCCCTCATCTTGTGTGATGGTCCTCGTATTTATAGAGGGCCATCCAGGTGATAAGAATGCCTCATCCTCAATTTGAATTTCAAATTGAATGATAGCGCCATTTGAATTTTGAATAATAGCACTATATGATTAATCGTATATCTGATTAACTGAATTGATCTTTGAGGTTTCATCCTGTGTGGTGTCCTTGCTGTAGGCTCTACATATGTCATCTTTCGTAAGCTCCACGTGTAATTTGAGCATCTTGAATAACGTCGTTAAGATACGACGTCGTTTTATTTATACACTTCAACGGAGCAAGTTGATCATTTTGAGAAAATAATTGCCTACAACATTCCCATCATAGGCTCTATACGTGTCATAAATTTAGTTGAAATTTATGTGCCAACAAATGCCCCTCATGACTTGCACAAGTGAATTTTCTTAACTGTGCGAGTCAAGACAATTCGGTACTTTTATCTAGATGATCTTTAGGTTTTGGATGTGATTACTTCTTGGCTTTGGTCCATAGCCCTTCTTTTTTTATATATATTTTTAATGAAGGGTTAATTGTCCTTTATAGTCCATGGGCCTTTTACTTTTGTTGCATGGGTCCTTTTTGTGGACTTTATTTTATTTATTCATTTTTTTTTTTTTAAGTGTCATGGGTAAGGTCCAAGATTTAATTGGACCTTTCCTTTTATGGGCCTCCTATTTACCGCCATTTTTACATCATATATATATATATATATTTTAGGCCATCATGGATATTAATGGGTAAGGGCCAAGATTTAATTGGGCTTTTTTTCTTGTGGGCCTCCAACTTGCAACTTTTTTTTTTTTTACAGTAGATTTTTTTTTTGTGGCCATCATGGATATTGATGCGTAAAGGCCAAGATTTAATTGGCCTTTTTTCTCTTGTGGGCCTCCAACTTGCCACCTTTTTTTTTTCAGCAGATTTTTTTTTTAGGCCATCATGGATATTGATGGGTAAGGGCCAAGATTTAATTGGGCTTTTTTTTCTTGTGGGCCTCCAACTTGCAAATTTTTTTTTATTTTTTTTAAGGATCATATTTTTTTTTTACAGCATATATATATATATTTTAGAAGTTTGTCTAAATGAAATAGGATGGATTGGCATTGATAGGATTTCTAATCCTATATGAACTCTTGCTTCTTTGGAGTGTTTTAAGAGACCACCTCTTTTCTCTTGTGGGCCTCCAACTTGCCACCTTTTTTTTTTCAGCAGATTTTTTTTTTAGGCCATCATGGATATTGATGGGTAAGGGCCAAGATTTAATTGGGCTTTTTTTCTTGTGGGCCTCCAACTTGCAAATTTTTTTTTATTTTTTTTAAGGATCATATTTTTTTTTACAGCATATATATATATATATATATTTTAGAAGTTTGTCTAAATAATAGGATGGATTGGCATTGATAGGATTTCTAATCCTATATGAACTCTTGCTTCTTTGGAGTGTTTTAAGAGACCACCTCTTTTCTTAAGCAATAATTTTTGCTTTATATAACACCTATTCATGCGTACAACCCATATATATTTTTTCCTGCAGCTTTCTTCCTCCAGCAGATTTTTTTTTTTTTTTGTTTCCAGCAGCCTCTCTTCCCGGCAGAAGCTGTTCTTCTTACACTTTAAAGAAAGCACAAAAGAATTCCTTCAGATTCCTTTTAATCAGGTATACTTTCCTATTTATTGCTTCTCTTTTTTTTTTTAACGGCATGTATTTGTTTATTTAGCAGTTTTTTTTTTTTGCTAAACCCAAATATGAACACAGACAGTTATTTTTTTTTTTTTAAAAAAACCTTTTTTTTGTAGACCATGAATCTAAATAGGCCAAACAAAGTCCTTGTCACAAAGCCCTTTTTTTTTTCTTTGAAGAACAAACCAACACAGGTTGCCTTTTTTATTCCCACACTAGCTTCATTTTTTTTCAAACTGTTTAGCAGGTTTTTCTTTTTAAACCCTTTTTTTGTAGACCATGAATCTATATAGGCCAAATAAAGTTTCAAACTGTTTAGCAGGTTTTTTTTTAAAACCTTTTTTTGTAGACCATGAATCTAAATAGACCAAACAAAGTCTCTGTCACAAAGTTTTTTTTTTTTTAAAACCCTTTTTTTTTATTACAACAGCAAACTATTTAGTAGGGTTTTTTTTTTAAAAACCCTTTTTTGTCAACCATGAATCTAAATAAGCCAAACAAAGTCCTTGTCACAAAGCTTTTTTTTTTTTTTTTTCTTTTTGAAAGAACAAACCAACACAAGTTGCCTTTTTTAATTCCCACACTAGCTTCATGGATACCATGCTTTTCTTCTCTCTTTTTTTTTTTTTTGCTAACCATGAGCCCAAACAAAGACTTTTCTTGTTTAAAGAAAAACTTGCTATACCCTTTTTTGTAACAGCATATATTTGTTTATTTAGCAGATTTTGCTAAATCCAAATATGAATAGACTTTTTTCTTTTTTCTTTTTTTTTTTTTTGAAAATCGAATTTTTTAAGCCTGCTACATTTTATTTTATTTTGCATTAGTAGCAGCCCATTGTACAATTGGCCAATTTTTTTTTTTTTAAAAAGTCGAATCAAGCTTGCCCCCTCGTGATTCGTGCAAGTGAATTTTAATTGTATGAATCACGATAACTAATTTCCTTTTTTTTTGTTAACAATTATTTCATGTCTTTTTATCTCTTTTGCAGGCAACACGCAAGGCGTCAGAGTTTGTTTGCAGGTATCATTGCCCCTTCCAGCCTAAGGGCAATGAATGGCTTGAATCCTTGGCAGTGATTGTGTCCTTTCACCCCAGTGGCTTGAATGTGAATGTGTCCTTCACTCCAATGGCTTGAATCATTGGCAGTGATTGTGTCCTTCACCCTAATGGGTTGAATAATTGGCAGGGATTGTGTCTTTTCACCCCAATGGCTTGAATCCTTGGCAGTGAATGTGTCCTTCACCCCAACGGCTTGAATCCTTGGCAGTGAATGCGTCCGTCACCCCAACAGCTTGATTCCTTGGCAGTGAATGCGTCCTTCACCCCAACGGCTTGATTCCTTGGCAGTGAATGCGTTCGTCACCCCAATGGCTTGATTCCTTGGCAAGGGGCTTTCGTCAATTTCTTTATATTATGACATTTTGCCTTCACTAACCTCCCCTTTTTTTTTCTTTTTCTTTTTTTTGTTTTTTAGGCATCATGGAAAAGACACGTGAATATCTTCGACGTGACGAGAGTGATGTATTAGATAAATCTGGTCCGAAAATAATTCGGCACGAACCTATCACTGCTTTATTGTTACCCACCGAGTTGGACCCCTACATCCCTTTACATACGGCTTCCGAAGACTTGGTCTATACAGGAATTCGAAACTGTTGTGAGATTCTCGAGAAAGGGCACTCCAAATCAATCGGTTCATTCCCTATCTCAATCCTCTTTCCATTTTCTGAAGACCTTGACTGTTCCGAATTTAATATTCTTCTTAAGAGAATGAAACATGAAAAATTAAAGTGGGATAATTCTTTTAATGTCCGCGGCATCTCCACCTATTTGCAATCCCCAATATGGATTTTTTGGTTGAATGATGTTCTCTCCACATTTGCCCCTATTTTGAAGAAGTGTGGGATTTATGCCGCAATTTATGTATCCCAATTTGCTTATGCTAGGAATGTCGCCTTGCTCAAAGGATTCTTAGAGCAGTGGTCACCCGACACCAACACAGTCCACACCATTCGTGGCGAGTTTTATGAAGAGTTCACCTCCTCAAATGACGTTTTATATTCGTCCCAGACATCTAAGGCGTACCGTGGGCTTTTCAATATTTATGCCAGCTCTTTTCAATCCAAGAAGTTTAACCACTGGACTTTCAAATTTATTGACGAATCCCCAACTTCGATTAGTGGTTTTCAACGAAAAGACAGAATCCCTGATGATGTGTATCTTTCTGGTTTTTTGGCGAGTTGGCATAGCAGATTTGTTTTCTCTCACTCTTCCGGGGAAATTCGTCCAACTACCTTTCATGCAGCCACCAAAATGACCGGTGGAACCTTATTTAGCCTAGCCATCCCCGTCCTTGCATACCTCTATCATTCTTTTAGTAAAATGGCATCATCACCTTCACCTGGGAAGGAAAATATTCAGGGTCCTTTGCATTAGCTTTTTGGATGGATTTCATTATATTTGGTTAAGACTTACTCTCATAGGGATCCTCAGTCGATTTATCCGATTCCGGATATTCATTTCATGCCATATCTTGGGTTTATTGGAAACCAATCGGCTGCCCAATTTTTTATTGATAAATTTCCATTTGTGGACTCTCTCCTAACCTGTCGCACGGAGTGTCAATTTAGGGCTCTTACCCATGAAGGTGAACCTTCAGGCATTCTGGTCAACTCTGAAAGGATATCACCTTTCCACCTTGGCTATCTTATATCTTTGAGGCAAGGGATTTTAACTTTTAAAATGGGATTTAATTTCATTTCTGAACCGTTCTCCCCTAACCGATACGGTCGTCAATTTGGGTTTGCCCAAGCGTACCCTACACCGCTTAATGTATCTTGTCAGCAGCCCTCTAAGTGGTCTAAATTTTATTACAATTGGTGCCATATGTTACGCTACAGTACAAATGTCTCATTGGACTTACCAGGCTCCCGATCTACTTCTCATGTAACCATGCTTTATGCCAATTGGTGGTTGGGAACTTCCTTTACCATGCTCCAATATGTTACTCATACCCAGCCGAAATCTTCACGCAAGAGAAAACTTGATATGTCAATTAAAGACCAAAAGACGAAGAAGCCTTCTTACTCTACAGCTAGGTCATCATCTTCACCTATTGCTCTGGAAGCATCGTCACCTCAGAGAATGGATAATAGTCAGCCACCTATTGCTCCTTCCCGATCTAGTTACTCGGTTTCAGATCTCCTACATCTTTTTGAGAATATGTGTAATTCTCAATTTAAAATGAGATTTAGCTTTGAGCAAGTAGATTCTGGCCCTCAATTTTCTAGTCTAGCGAAGCTTTTTCTAGAGACTGTGTCTATCAGTGATTGTACAAGAACTTCCCAACCAACAGTATCGACCAAAACTCCAATGGACCAATTTTGCACACACCTGTACTCTTTTCTTGAAGATAAAGATGAGAATATGATTCAAGAACTCTTTGAGGGAGATGGGTACGAATTAACTGCCTTGGGTCGTATTCGCATTGAGAGTGTTGAAATTCCTTCTCCCACCAATCTTTTGATCGTTCTCTCAATGCGAGTAGCGAGAGTGAAAATGAGTTTTATTACTATACCCCTCTTTTAGATGGCACACCAACTAAGATGAATAAATTGACCCTAGCAAATGTAGGTTTTTCTTCTCTTTCTTCAAACAAGCCATCCAAGTTGTTAGAGAAAGGTATAATTCCTCTTTCTTTTTCTTTTTCTTTTTCTTTTTTCTTTTTTTTATATTTTTTTTTAAAATACCTTTCATTTTCTTAGACACTACGCCTTGGACTTCCCTAGCTGCCTCGCATATGTCATTGGCTACCTTTAAGGGTATTCTTATTCATTCCTTGTACCTCATTTTATTTCATCATGTATACATACTCAAGGAACTCTTTCCCCTAGCAAATGTAGGTTTTTCTTCTCTTTCTTCAAACAAGCCATCCAAGTTGTTAGAGAAAGGTATAATTCCTCTTTCTTTTTCTTTTTCTTTTTTCTTTTTTTTATATATTTTTTTAAAATACCTTTCATTTTCTTAGACACTACGCCTTGGACTTCCCTAGCTGCCTCGCATATGCCATTGGCTACCTTTAAGGGTATTCTTATTCATTCCTTGTACCTCATTTTATTTCATCATGTATACATACTCAAGGAACTCTTTTCTCTTTAGATCATGTTACATTGCAGAATCCGTGGTCCACTTGTGAGAATCACAACTTGTCTCCTCCCACACCTAAGTCTCTTCAAGCCGTACAGCAAGGTATACTTCATTCATCCATATATATATATATTGTTTTTACCTTCTATGTTTTCATTGAGTGTCTCCTTCTATTTTCACAGAAATTACTTAGGAAACATTGGAAGAGACAGACGAAATTACTTCTAATACCTCGGAAAATGCCCAAATTCTTGCAGACTTACTTGAAGCAAATAGGGTTAACAAATTATTTGACCAATTTGAAGCACCCCTTGCTCTATCTAGCCTTATTTTGGAAACCTCCTCTAACGAAGCAACCACCCATATTCAGAATGGTCTTACTATTTCTCTCCAATCAACGACGGATGTTAATGGCATGATTGCTGTAGCAAACAACGTTTTCATGGTTTTGAAGAGTTTGGGTGTAGACTTCACCTCTTTTTACGAGAAGGTGAAGATATTCCTTGGGTGCTTTGCTTTAAAAACCCAACTTGCAGATTCTTCAAACTTGTCTACCTCAGAATTTGAGGCCCAATACTATGAGAAGAAGCTTCATTTCAACAAAGTTTCTGGCGAACATGAACAGTCGTCTGCTTCAATTATCAAGTCGGATGAGCACATTGTGAGTCTTAATCAAAGGATTATTCAAACCAAAGAGTTACTCAAACAACTTGAAGAGGAATTGTCATCCACCCAAGCGGAACATGCATCCTTTATGTGTGACTTTGCACAAGCTTCCGAGAGTGTTTCTAAATCAGAAGAAGGCATGCAAACTGCTCTGAATGTTTTGAGCCAGCACAAGAAGAAGAATGGATAACACAGTGTTGTGGAACGTGTTTTTGAAAGGGTTAAGGCTTCTCTTAATGAATGAATGCACTTTTATTTTTTTATTTATTCGAACATTATGTATTTATGAAATTTCGCTCAGTTATAGATTTATTTGTTATATGAAATTTCTCAATACAATACATTGATTTGTCTTATCTTAGCCGTTCACAGTTTATACTCTTGCGGGCCAGGAGTATCCAATGTTTTATCACCTTAGATTTCGGTGGGGTATTTTAGCTGTTTAACCATATACAATACAATTGGCGGTTTTCAACTTTTGGCTGTACACAGTTTATACTCTTGCGGGCCAGGAGTATTCACTGTTTTACCACTTTAGATTTTGGTGGGGTATTTTAGCAGTTTAACCACATACAATACCGTTGGTGGTCTTCGACTTTTGGTTGTACACAGTTTATACTCTTGTGGGCCAGGAGTATCCAATGTTTTACCACCTTAGATTTTTGGTGGGGTATTTTAGCAGTTTAACCACATATAATACCGTTGTTTTTTTTTTTTTTTGGTCGCCCTAACTTTTACCTAGGCCGCCCTTTCGGGTTTTCAACCTAGCAAGCTTTCTTAAGGGTAATATCTCTTCAAGAACCTTGCATTGGTTAGGGGAATGATTCTGTCACCGTCCATCGTTATCAACAAATAGGCCCCATTAGAATAAACCTTCTCAATCACATAAGGTCCTTCCCATTTGGGCTCAAACTTTCCTTTGGTTCTTCGTGAGACTACTATGGGTATTCTAACCATTAGTACGAAGTTTCCTTTTTTAAAGGAGCGAAGCCTCACTCTTTATTCAATGCATTTGCCATCCTTTGTTGGTAGATCTCCAAGTTTTGTTGAGCATACAACCTTCTTTCATCTAGGGTCTCGAAATCAGCCAACCTCACTCTTGCACTTTCATTTTCTGTTGAGGACTCTTGTTTTGCCACTCGCAATGATGGTATTTGAACCGCAAGTGGTAATACTGCTTCTCCTCCAAAAACCAACGAATAAGGAGTTGCTTGAGTAGGAGTTCTGTGCGAAGTTCGATAAGCCCACAAAGCTTCTTGTAACTTTTCGTGCCAAGCTTTTTTGTTCTTATCCACCATCTTCTTGAGAATTTTGCACAATGTCTTGTTGAAAGCTTCTGCCAAACCATTGGCAGGTGCATGATATCTTGATGACTGGTTGTTTTTTATTTTGTATTTGGCAAATAACTTGTTCAAAGCATCACTCTTGAACGGTTGTCCATTATCCATAATGACACTTTCTAGAATCCCGAACCTGTAAATGATATAGGTTGGATGAACTCAGAGACAATTGTGCTTTTTATATCCTTTAAAGCCATGGCCTCTGCCCATTTTGAGAAATAGTCAGTAGCAACTAGGATGTATCGATATCCTGCTGAGGAGGTACAAAAGGACCAATAATGTTCATACCCCATGTTGCAAATGGCCAAGAACAAGTTGTTAAATGTAAAGGCTCTGGGGGTTGGTGGAGAAAGTTTCCATGGAATTAGTAGACTTGGCATCTTCGAGCATAATCTATGCAATCTGCAATTATAGTCGCCAATAGTATCCCAACTGTTTTAGCTGCATATGTAATTTAGGACCACTTTGGTGTGCCCCACATACACCTGCGTGTATTTCTGCCATTACCTCTTGAATATGCTCCTTGGCTATACACCGCATGTACATTCCATCCAAAGACCTTTTGTATAACCCATCTTTCCACAGGACGAATTTGGTAGCCCTACGTCTCACTTCAATTCTTTTTACTTAATCTTCAGGTAGCCTACCAGTTGAAGGTAAGCTATGAATGGTTCCCGACAATCCTCCTCGCTTTCTCCTTTCGTGGTAACAACCAAGTCAGAAACCTCTTTTAAAGGTTGTAACACCCTTCTTTCGCCTATTGTAATAGTAATTGTTTTACTATCTGGTAGGGTGAGCGATGCAGCCAAACCTGCTAGTGAATCCACTCGACTATTTGTTCTTCTCTTCACGTGGAAAATATATGTTTTCCTGAATTGTGAAATCAATTCATCAGCCTTTTCATGATAAGGGATGCGACTTGTTTTCTTAACAATGTACTCTCCATGGAGTTGCTTTACCACCAGTTCTGAATCTCCATAAATTGAGAGTTCTTCAATAGGAATTTGTAATGCCAATTCTAATCCAGCAATTTTTCATATTCTGCCTCATTATTAGAGCATCTATCACTTAAGGCGAAAGAGTGGATGATTATAGCATTGTCTGGAGTCACAAAAACAATTCCAATTACAGCTTTATTGTTTTTAGGATTTTCTTGCTTCTTGCCATCTAGACTCCTTGAAGCTCCATCGAAATACATCTCCCATCCTTTCTGGATTTCTCCTTGCATAACCTCTTCATCTGGTAAATCAGTTACTAGAAGTGAGTCATCAGGTATAGGATGTGTTGCCAAAAAATCTGCTAGAGCCTACCCCTTTACAGCTCTTTGAGGAACATATTCAATTGCGAATTGTTGGAGAATTACAGCTGACTTTGCAATTTTTCCTGAAAGTATGGGCCATGAAAGTATATATTTCAAGGGGTCTGCTCTTGATGACAACTTGACTTCGTGTTCCAAGACATAGTGCTTAATTTTTGCAAGGCGAACACCAAGGCAAGACATGTCTTTTCGATAGAAGAATAATTGACTTCTGCCCCAACCAGAGTACGACTCAAGTAATACAAGACATTTTCTTTCCCATGCTCATTGTGTTGTGCCAACAGTGCCCCTAACGAACCATCCAGGGCTGTTATGTACAACAAGAGTGGTTTCTCTTTTATTGGGCTCATGAGTACTGGAGGCTTCAAAAGATACTCCTTAATACTATTAAAAGAATTTTGGCACTGCTGATCCCATTCAAATGGAACACCCTTTTTCATCAATCTTGAGAATGGCAAGTATCAACCAACCAAGTTAGAAATAAATCTTATGATATAGGCCAATCTCTCTTGTAGCCCCTTCAATTCCCTTAAATTTCATGGAGGAGACATTTCAGCAATGACTTTAATCTTGGTAGGGTCAATTTCAATCCCTTTGTTTTGAACCACAAACTCTTGAAATTTTCCTAAGGAAACTCCAAATGCACATTTTAGTGGGTTCATCTGGAGTTTGTATCTCCTCAAACGTTCGAAGATTCTTCTCAAATCTTCCACATGGTTTTCATTTTCCTTTGTCTTTGACGACAAGATCATCAACATAGCATTCAATGGTGTCATGGAGCATATCACTGAAAATTACAGTCATTGCCCTTTGATACGTGGCTCCAGCATTTTTTAGGCCAAAGGACATTACCTTATAGCACAAGGCTCCTCTCGGAATCCTGAATGCAATCATTTCTTCATCTTCAGGTGTCATTCAGATTTGATTGTATCCTGAGTATCCATCCATAAAAGACAAGGTTTCATACCCAGTAGTTGCATCTACAAGAAGTTTAGTGATGGGCAAGGGAAAGTCATCTTTAGGACAAGCCTCATTGAGATCACGGAAATCAATGCAAACCCTGATTTGACCATTCTTTTTCTTGATCGGCACTATGTTTGCTAGCCAGGGTTGGATATTTGACTTCCCTGATGAATCCTGCATTAATAAGCTTGTCGACTTCAGTTTCAATTTGGGTTGTAAGCTCTGGTCGAGTTCGCCTCTGAGGCTGTTTAACTGGCCATTTCTCAAGGTAAATTGCAAGCTTATGGACTGCAATCTCTGGATTAAGACCAGGCGTCTCACTGTAGTTCCACACGATACTCCCTTAAGAAGAAAATATATTGTCGAGCTTCTTCTTCCTTTAAATTTGCACTAATGAAGGTTGGTTTGTTTTCTCCTTCATCACCCAGATTTACTTCACGAAGGTCATCCACGGTGGCTTGGCCTCCTGCTTCAAATTCTGTTGGTGTAGGTTGAGCTTCATCTTGGTCAACATTTTCCAACACATCTCGAGTGATAGTCATGTTTACTGGAAATTTTTCCTCATATCCCCAATAGCCTAACCCTTCTGTCCTAGCGGTGATAATATCACCTGGCTAGATAGCCTGCCTCTGCAAAGTTAAAGGGTGTCATTGTTCCTGCAAAGTTAAAGGGTGTCATTGTTCCTGGTATTTTTTTAGGATCTAAACCAACTTTTACCAACATCTATGTAATTTCTGCACTGAAGGTAAGCTTCTCAAAACTCGAGATGTTTTCTTCTAGCACTTGTTCAACTTTCAGTTTCTGTTCAACATCTCCAAGTGAGTGGAATATGATGGGTTTCGACCCTTTTCCTTTAGGAGGGACCACAATCTTATTATATTTCTCCACATAGGTGCATTTTGTCCTCCTTAATGGCAACATAAACTCACCCTTAAGATCCAAAATTGGATTTATTAGGGCTAGAGCCTTTGCCCCTGGTTTCCTTTCGGACTTTGGCACATATCGAAAAGTTCTTTTTGTTGAAACTGGAGTAGACTCTAGAGCGTCTTTGACATTCAGAGTATCTTCAGACTTCTTCCCATCTTTTCCCTTTCTTTGTGAAGTCTTTGTATAGAAGTGAGCATCAGCATAATAGGCCTCTACTTCTCCAAATGGATCATTGCCAGCCACAATTGTCCCCTCTTTTTTGGGTGAAGGTAACGGGTACTTGATACATTGGTGATAAGTTGATGGTACTGCATGATGATTATGCATCCATGGTCTCCCAAGCAAAGACTTAGAAAATATGAAGAAGAAGAACTCCGAAAATATGAGGAAGAAGGAATATATTTCTGTTATACCAAGAACTCGGTGCTTTCGTCAATATCCCCAAACTTGGTCCGCAATTCAATCTTCCCCATTGGGCGTTGTTCATTCTGATTAAATCCTTGAATGACCAAACGACTTGGGCGAAGTTGTGAAATTCAAACCCCTAACAAGTTTAAGGCCCTCTGAGGCAGGAGGTTTATCGCAGATCCTCCATCAACTAGAATTCGAGAAATTTTCACATCATGAATAAGCCCAGTGATAAACAAAGGCCAATTATGGTCTATCATTTCAACACACATGTGTTTGTCACCAAAGGTTACCATAGCCATGCGTGTAGTTGTCTTCTCTTGATTTATACCCTCAATTTCTTTGTGGAAATCCTCTGGCTTGGACAGGGCATATATTAAAAAGACTTTTGAAGCTCTGGATTCCAGATCATATATTATTGGAAATCCGCTGAAGCTGCAACAAAGGCCATAGTTGCAACCTGATTAGCCTCTTTTGCCTGAATTAGAAAGCTCTTCGTTCGGGCTGTAGCCCTCACAGTTGTGTATTGCTTCGACGCTTTCACATAATCTTCAGTAATCTTTGTGAAACTTTCAACTTTCTGGAGAAGTATGACTTTCTTCGTCGCACCAGTTACCTTCGGGACAGCCAAGAGCTTTCGCTCCGGACCCCTTGGGCAATAGGGGAAAGAAGTGCATCTTTCCAGGATTTCGCTGGTTCTACCTTTGGGACAGCCAAGAGCATTCGCTCCGGAGCCCCTTGACTGATGGGTGCTATCTCCAACCTTGGTGATTTCAAAACCACTGGAGTGTAGGTTTGTCTCTTGACAGTTGCTTCAGCATTCCTATAACAGAAGAATACGTTAGTAAGTTTCAACTATATATATATATTTTTTTGTTCTTCAAAAGATGGGAGGAGAAATAAGTCCCACTGGGCGTGCCAAAATTTGTAGACACAAATTTTGAAACATGAAGTGCTTCAACACATTTCAAAATTTTATGTTACAAATGTCTATTGTTTAGTTTTTGGACTAAACAGTGTTGATTATTTGAATAGCAGGTTTCTATTTCCGATCTGTATTCCAGATCATTAATTACACATTTTATATAAATGAAACCTCCGATTAACGAAGAACAAAATAAATAACAAAAGACAATTTAAGAAAATAAATATTTTATTGAAATTGTTATGGGTTTTGAACCCTTGAATACAAAGTACAATTCTTGGGTTTGGAACTCTTTACCTATTCATCGTCATTCTGGGTTTATAGCGTAGGCTCTTGAATTCTCTGGGCTTCTCTTCTTCTTTCTTGTAACGACTTCTTTAGCTCTTGATTTCTTTCTCTCTCTCTGGTATTCTCACTTCTGATCCCTGATCTTGTGTGATGGTCTTCGTATTTATAGGGAACCATCCAGGTGATAAAGAATGTCTCATCCTCAATTTGAATTTTAAATTGAATGATAGCGCCATTTGAATTTTAAATAATAGTGCTATATGATTAATCGTATATCTGATTAACCGGATTGATCTTTGGGGTTTCATCCTGTATGGTGTCCTTGTTGTAGGCTCTATAAGTGTCATCTTTCGTAGACTCCACGTGTCATTTGAGCATCTTGAATAATGTCGTTAAGATATGACGTTGTTTTATTTATACACTTCAACGGAGCAAGTTGATCATTTTGAGGAAGTAATTGCCTACAACATTCCCATCATAGGGTCTATACGTGTCATAAATTTAGTTGAAACTTATGTGCCAAGACACATGTCCTTCAATCCTCCACTATCCTGTGTTTGGTTCACCTAGATTAGCTTCCCTCCTCTTTCCAACTGTAAAAAATATACTCCCAACTCTTATCCCATTCTTCATCCCACTTTAACCATATATAATATAAAAAGTCTCATGGTATATATAAACAGTCAATATCCCATAATGTACCAAGAAACATGTGGGGCCCACGGTATTACTTATCCCCTTGTCCCCTTAATCCTATCCCCCGAAACAAACATGGCCTTAGTGTATGCTTTGGTACACAATGTACTTTCTTGACATCCCATGTGAACTTGGAGTCTAGGTCAAAACCGGTATAGAATATGTGCTACTTGGAATGAAGATTGATCCTATGCGAGGAATAGCAATAGAAATGTGGTACACCACACGCTCTAAAATATATTATGAGAGAAGTGGCTGTATAGATCACACTAAATATAATTTATTATTCTTCAAATTAGTCATTTAAAACCTAATTATAAAAGGATTATGGTCTTATGTTTTTACATTTTGTCATGCCAAGCTCCCACTATATTTAGATTTTAGTTCATTATATTTAATTCTTTTCCTTCTAATTAAAGAAATTACATAGGGAGGGAGAAAATTGAGATAGTTTTGGATCGTTGAATCCATTGTTTTAGAACGGAAGTTTACTTTGTTTTGGAATGTGCATTCGAATTCATAAATCGTGAGGGTGTTAGCTTTTTTCTAGTACATTGTGTAGAATAGTAAGGAAGAGCACAGAAGAGGAAGAAGGAGAATAATAATAAAAAAAAATAAGAAGAAACAAAGAGGGAGAAAAGTTATGGAGTACACTTCTACTCTGTGTTCTGTTATGAAGTTTTGTCTTTCACTAGATATTGAGCTGAAGTGTTCAGGGGATGAAAAAGGTGATTGTTGTAACTATAGTTACCAGGAATAGTGATATTCTGGCGATCTATATTTGGGAATATATGTTCTGAAATGTGGACACTTGTTTAGTGATCCAAAGCAATTCTAACATTTTCTCTATTTAATTCCTTGCTGCTTTCCTTGTGAGGGAATAAGAAAAACATGAAAAATAATGAACTAAAATCAAGAAAAGAGTGGGATTTTGGCAATGGATCTAAATGAAAAAGGCCATAGACATTACTTGACTTGTACAGAAAGTACATTAGATCGTAAAGGATGCATATTAGTCAGTTTTTTTTTTTTTTTTTTTTTTTTTTTTTTTTTTTTTTTTTTTTTAAGATTGAGGAATAAGTTGGACGATTATGCTATTCAGAAGGAAAGCATGTTGGATATAAGAAAAGTTAAAAAATAGAAATGCATTTTATGTTTCATTGAATATCTGAGTATTTATGAAAAAATTCATCTGGTATATGGAAGTATGTCAATACATTGCACATTTTGTGATCTATACAAGCTATCCTTTTGTGCACGAGGTTGTGTAGTATTTGGTGTACCATGTTCCTCTTCATATTCCCATTCGTCATACTGAATGACCCACAATTTAGGCGACACTAGTTGGCTGGTTTAACATGGAATGCATAGCGTTATGATTAAATCTCTTTATTATTTTCTTGATAAGTTTTCTTTTGTAAACAAGAAGTTTGGGTTGTTGTGTAATAAGAATTAAGAAACCCCTCAGCTATAAATTGTCTCTATCATGATCCAATTAAATGATTGGAGTTAGCCTTTGCTGATCAAGAAGGTCCAAGTTCCATGTCTTGTTTTCCCATCATCTGCAATTCTGTGTTCTGAATTGCAGACACCTTGCTCTCTTATCATCTTTGGGTCTAGTTTCACATATTTCCACAACTTCAGTAGTTATCATATGTTCCTTGGTTATTTTTCCCCCGTTGTATCGCAATTCGTGAACTACCTCTACAAGCATAATGTTATCTATGAGTTCAAATGCAATAATTACTGGGTTTGATCAAGATTTTATTGGCACTCAATATGAAATTTGATTATTTGCTTACCTTGGAGAAGTTATCAGAATATTGTTTCTAGGATGGCTGTCATCATTTGATTTGTTTCAAAAGGATTTGACAGTTTACATTTGTGTCTCTTTTGTTAATTACAGTTGAGGAGCGTCATTGATCCTAAACTGTCTTCTACATCGGTCCGACATGACCCCATAAACTGTCTTCTACATCGGTCTGACACCGCCATCCAGTGTCCTCTACACCGTTATGACACCACCATACAGTGTCCTCTACAACGTTATGACACCCCCATACAGTGTCCTCTACAACGTTATGACACCACCATCCAGTGTCTTCACCAATGGTCTGACACGACCATACAGTGTCTCCTATCCTCTTTTATTTTTATGTTATTTTCTTGTTTTGTAACTCTCTCCAAACTCAAGTTGGTTAGTTCCTATCCCCCTTGAGTTTGCGGGGGGCTGTTAAAATTCACCCACTATCACCTACCACACTTCACCTACTCTCCACCTACCACTACCACCTACCACACTTCACTCTCCACCTACTCCCAAACACACTCCTATATAATAGGAATCCTTGTAATTGTAATTTATATCAATTAATAATACATCAGTTCTCTTACATGGTATCAGAGCAATAAGATTTAGGCCTATATTCTTTTTTTTTCCGGCGGTCAGTCGGCTGGCACCCATGCCTTTGCTGCCCGCTGGAATTTTCAACACCTCCACAGAGTATGGCTCAATCCCAAGCTTACTTCCATCAAACACAGAAGTTCCAATTGCCACAGATAGCCCACCAAAATACCACCACCTTCTTCCATCTATGAGCTTTGTGTTAGATTTATATACCACAGCACTACTACTACTACTTTCAGGCAAAGTTCGAGGAGGCTTGTTTGTTCCACCGAACAACCCTAAAAAATTGCACAAATTACTGAGGAAGCAATTCAAAGATACTGCTGGGAAGAATTGGTTTGACATGGTGGCCCAAACCCTCATCCCAGAGTTGAAGAAAGATCTCCAGCTACTCAAGTTGAGGAGCGTCATTGATCCAAAGACACTACAAGAAGGGTGACTCAAAATCGAGAACAGTTCCCATGTATTTCCAGGTGGGCACAGTGATAGAGTCGGCATCAGACTTCTTCACAGGTCGGCTTACTAAGAAGGAGAGGAAAGCAACCCTTGCTGATGAGCTACTCTCTGATCATACCCTTGGGGAGTACAGGAAGCGCAAGGTTCGAGAGAGTGAAGAACAGAACCATCCTGGAGGGGTGGAGAAATGGAAGATAAAAGGTGGACAGTCTTGGAAACGTGCTAAGCAAAGAAGACGCTGATGGCTTTCGATGTTGTTGACCCTGCAAAGGATATTTTTCTCCAGCTCAGATTCGGTTTACATCTCTCTCTCTCTCGGTTTACATCTCCCACCATTTGTTTTTTAACCCACTTCCTCTCTCCACTCGAGTACAGGAAGCGCAAGGTTCGAGAGAGTGAAGAACAGAACCGTCCTGGAGGGGTGGAGAAATGGAAGATAAAAGGTGGACAGTCTTGGAAACGTGCTAAGCAAAGAAGACGCTGATGGCTTTCGATGTTGTTGACCCTGCAAAGGATATTTTTCTCCAGCCAAGTTCAGTTTTTGTGTTGGCACACATGACGCATACCAGTGGTAGATGTTAACATTTGGTATTGTGCCATAATGAAATGAGAGCAGTCAATCAGATCAACATCAGGCGCTTTTAATCATTATAGATTATATTTATACACATCACATGAATTTAGTGATTGCTTGCTTGCATGTGTATTGACTGTTAATGATTTAGACACTACTCTAGAAGATGGCTGTTATTAATTTTGTATGAAGTTTTGGATTTGTGTGGCAAATTGCCATTATTGAGATGGAACGGAGGCTTTTCCCAATATAAGCCTTTTTTACATTGTATTTCCAAAACTAGGCCAACTTCTGACGGAATTCCAAAACTAAGCTAAAGCGCCATTACTATTCGCGCTTTTACTGTTAGGAGCGCAAAAGTAGATGAACAGGAAAATCGCTATTACAAATAGCGACTTTGATTAATAAGTCGCTGTTACGAATAGCGCTTCTAGGGTTAATTTTTTTCCAAGGAAAACGCTGTTAAGAACAGCGCTTTTTATACAAATTTTTTTAGCGAAAAAAACGCTATTGCTAATAGCGATTTTAACAAAAAATTTTTGCCAGAAAAAACGCTATTTCTAATAGCGAGTTCACTTAAATGAAAACGCTTTTTCAATCAGCGTTTTTAACGTCCTCATATATACGAAGCCCCTCCCCTCATTTGCATACGTTTTTCAGACTTAGGTTTTTCGGCCATCTCGCTCTCAGCTCACTCTCCATCTCTCAGCCTCTCCATCTCTCACCCTCCTCCATCTCAGCTCGCTCTCGCTCTCTGCTCTCGCTCTCTGCTCTTTGCTCTCGGTCTCTGCTCTCACTCTCTGTCTCTGCTCTCTCTCTCTCTCCGTGGTATGACATTAACCCTAATTTTATGTATTTAGTTTTTGTGTTTGTAAATGTGTTGTATTTTTCTGTCAATGTTAGGGTTTTACATGTGAATTATTAAATGTGTTAGGGTTTTTATCATTGTGGTTATGAAATTAGGGTTTGGAATTTTTTGAAATCAGAAATCAGGGTTTGGAAATCAGAAATGCGAATGGTTTTGAATTTGTGGAATTTTTTTGCTTTTGAATTTTTGGATGTTGCTTGTGAATTGAATATGGTTATGAATGTTTATGCTTTGTCAGTGTGGTTGTGGTGATGAAATTAGGGTTCGATATCAGATTGTTCACATTATTAGGATTGTTCAAATTAGGATGTCATTTTAGGGTTCACATTATTAAGGGTTGTAACGCTTTTGAATTTTTATGCTTTTGAATCATAAATCGGGTTTGGAATTTTTTTAATTTTTTGAATTTTTTAAATAAATCATAAATATGAGAATTGAGAATTGAGAATTGAGAATTGAAAATTCGTAAATCATCAATTCATATAATTGATAATTGTTAATGTCATATTATGAAATTCATGTATTTGAGAATTGTTGATTTGAAATTATGAAATGTCTATATTTTGAAATTTGAAATCAGAAAATGGAATTTTGAAATGATGCTTGTGAGTTTTTTTTTTTTTTTGCTTGTTAACAGGAATAAAAAGGAAATTAGGGTTTCAAATTATGGTTTTAAAAGTAATTTTGTTTAATTAAGAATAAAAATAGTAAAAATTGTAATTCATATAATTCGTAATTGTTAATGTCATATTACGAAATTCATGTAATTGAGAATTGTTGAATTGGAATTATGAAATGTCTATATTTTGAAATTTGAAATCAGAAAATGGAATTTTGAAATGATGCTTGTGAGTTTTTTTTTTTTTTTGCTTGTTAACAGGAATAAAAAGGAAATTAGGGTTTCAAATTATGGTTTTAAAAGTAATTTTGTTTAATTAAGAATAAAAATAGTAAAAATTGTAATTCATATAATTCGTAATTGTTAATGTCATATTACGAAATTCATGTAATTGAGAATTGTTGAATTGGAATTATGAAATGTCTATATTTTGAAATTTGAAATCAGAAAATGGAATTTTGAAATGATGCTTGTGAGTTTTTTTTTTTTTTTGCTTGTTAACAGGAATAAAAAGGAAATTAGGGTTTCAAATTATGGTTTTAAAAGTAATTTTGTTTAATTAAGAATAAAAATAGTAAAAATTGTAATTCATATAATTCGTAATTGTTAATGTCATATTACGAAATTCATGTAATTGAGAATTGTTGAATTGGAATTATGAAATGTCTATATTTTGAAATTTGAAATCAGAAAATGGAATTTTGAAATGATGCTTGTGAGTTTTTTTTTTTTTTTGCTTGTTAACAGGAATAAAAAGGAAATTAGGGTTTCAAATTATGGTTTTAAAAGTAATTTTGTTTAATTAAGAATAAAAATAGTAAAAATTGTAATTCATATAATTCGTAATTGTTAATGTCATATTACGAAATTCATGTAATTGAGAATTGTTGAATTGGAATTATGAAATGTCTATATTTTGAAATTTGAAATCAGAAAATGGAATTTTGAAATGATGCTTGTGAGTTTTTTTTTTTTTTTGCTTGTTAACAGGAATAAAAAGGAAATTAGGGTTTCAAATTATGGTTTTAAAAGTAATTTTGTTTAATTAAGAATAAAAATAGTAAAAATTGTAATTCATATAATTCGTAATTGTTAATGTCATATTACGAAATTCATGTAATTGAGAATTGTTGAATTGGAATTATGAAATGTCTATATTTTGAAATTTGAAATCAGAAATTGGAATTTTGAAATTATGCTTGTGAATCAAAATGTCTACATTTTTTGAATCAAATTATGGTTCAGAAATTGTTAATGTCTAATTTCTACAAAATATAATTATTAAACAAAAAAATATTTAATTTTGAATGTATTTTATTAAAAAATTGTGAAAGATTTATGAGGATCTCAAATATTTTTTATTTTGAAATTTTTGATTTTTAGTTAAAAAGTAAAAAAAATTATTATAAATTTCAAATTATTCTTTTTATTTTCATACACGTCTTTTTATAAAAAAAAAATTAAAAAATTATTAAAAAAATCAATTCATATGCAACCTCATGGTTATGTTGTATTTTTTTTCCTTTTTTTATCAATAAAAAAAATTCATTAAAATACTAAATGAAAAATACAAAGGGGTAAACTCACTACTACTGCTAGCTACAACTCAGAAACGTAAAATTAAAGATAGGGCAAATTATATTAACACTTCCTGAAGTTTATGTTTATTACAATTCTCTCCCTCACATTTGAAAAATTACACTGACCTCCTTGTTAATTTAATTTTATGTATATGATCATTACGGTGAGAGAGAACTATTATAAAACTTTAAACCTCAGGGAGTAATCTGTAATGAAATTTTAAATCTCAGAGAGGGGATGTAATTTCTAAAAAGTGAGTGCCAATTTAATTTACCCTTAAAGATATGGGGTTGTTGTTAGTGAGGGGATTGATAGTGAGGGAATTAATAATGAGGAATTGTTAAATTATTTTTATATAAAATAATAAAACAAATAAAAAAATATAAAAAATTAAACATTATATTTAAAAAAAAAATTCTCAATATATAAAAAATAAAAAAATTTCTAATCCCCTCACTATTTTCTAATACCATCTATACCTCCTCCTTACCAATCCCCCTTCCAAGGGTATTAGTAATACCAAGAGACTTAATGGTCCTAAGGCTATCTCTGCAAACAAATAAGGGCATTAGTGATACCTTAGTATTACTAGTCCCAATACCCTCCCTATAGCCTAAACATCCCAAACAACTCTTTAAAAAAAAAAAACACATCATCAATTCTATCATTGACACTAAACGTGTTGCAAATTTTTTCTTCATGAGACTGATAAAAATGACAGAGGAGGATTTTGAGAAAATAATTAAAAGTTAATTTTTTTGATTTTTTAAAATTTTTTTATAAAAATATATAAAGAAATTAATATAATCTAAAATAAATTAGAAAATAACTTTTAATGTACATATTATCGGCCAAAGACGCGTTGGGGATACTGCTGCGCCCAACTCACAGCAATTATTGTTGTGAGTTGAAACGGCGTCGTTTCGGCATTAAATAATAAAAAAAACCAGTGTCATTTCGACATTAAATAATAAAAAAACAAATTTATTTGGTTGTTCGGAGGGTTTGAACGCAGGCCAGCTGAAAAACAAAACCTTCCTTGAACCACTGTGCTACTCAGACTATCCATAGGTAAATTGGACATAGATTATATTTGTTACATATATTAAATTGAATTAGATTCAAGGCTTATTTAAGGAGAAACCACCACTGTTGTTGTGTTTTATTTTATTTGTATTTGATACATAATAGAGCATCAAATTGTGCATATTGGATATGGATTCAAGGTTTATTTAAGGAGAAACCATTGTTATTGTGTTTTATTTTATTTGTGTTTGATATGGATTCAAGGTTTATTTAAAGAGAAGCCACCCCTGTTATTGTGTAGATTGGAATTTTTTTTTTTTAAAGATGGAAAGGATTTTTTATTTTATTTTATAAGCTTTATGGTGGCTGTAGCTAATTGTAAATTGTTTTTTTTTTAATGCTGGAATACAGATTGTAATAATAGTAGATTGTAAATTTCTTTTTATAGTGGAATCCAAATTGTAATACTAGTAGATTGTAAAAAAAAAAATTATGTTGAAATACAAATGATAATAACAGCAAGTTGTAAATTTGTTTTTATACTGAAATAAAAATTGTAATAAATATAATATATATCTAAAATACTGATTGGATGTCTGAGTAACACAGTGATCAAAGCTTGTTTTGCTCCCTCACTGACATGCGTTCAAACCCTCTGAACAGTCAAGAAAAAAAAAAAAATTTTATTTTATTTAATACCGAAACGATAACATTTCAATTCATAACTGTCAGTTGGGTGCAACAGTACCCCGATACAGACGGCATGTTTGACTCAAACGCGTGCAGTTGTAGTACAGATGTCCCAACCCAACGAACCTCAAAAAAGCATGAGAGAGAATGGGATATTTATTAGGGGTGAGCATGGTCCGGATTGGATTGGATTGGAGTAAAATCAGGACCAATCCGTTATCTACGGATCCTAAAAAATTCGAACTAATCCAATCCGTTTAAATCGTGGAACCAATTCGAACCAATCCATTTAAATACGGATTGGATCGGTTTAGGACCACGAATTTATATAATTAAATAACAAAAAAATATATATAACACTTTATTTTCATAAAAATATAAATATAGCACAATATTAACTTCACAATAGCAACATGTCTTTTCATAATAGCAACAAACTGTTCTAAAATTTAAATAACCATAAAGAAACTGGTTCCACCATAAATATTTAGAC